TATGTGATAACTGAGAGGGGGTTAGTGGTGGTGGTGGGAGGCGGCGGTGGTGGTCGGCATGGTCGGCACCGGTGGTTTCTGAACCGCCAAAATGATACTACTTACAACCGCCAGCATTCACCCATGTTTCGTCGAGGAAATAAATATGTCGACCTTCTTCTCGGTACTTTTTAATGTTCTCCAAATACATTCTACGCCAATCAAAAATTTCATTTTTTTCAGCCATAGCACTGTTTCTACTACGTTTACAGTATCGGAAATCTAAATCTTTCAACAGATGAAATAAATTGGTTCGCGATATTGATGGCAAACTGTCGGCGGATACGGTTTGGTGAATTTTATCTATTGTTGGAATTTCACGACGAAACCAAATGCTATGAACGTGTCTGCGTACTGCGTTTTTTGCAAATTCGTCAAAAAGATCGCGAAATGATTTTTTTTTACGTTTTTGTTTTGAAGCAACCACCTTGTGTGTCTCCTTGTATGTTGTAATAATTGTCTGGATCGAACGTTCGCCAACACCCAATACATCCGATATTTGTTTTCGTATTTGTCTCACGGAGATGCTAGGTTCATTCATTGTAATACTTTTGTACATATTTACAATTCGGATTCTTACTTCCTCACTTATAGCCTTAAATAAAAATATTTTAAAAAAATAAGTCTTAATAAAAATACTGTCTTGAAGGACATATTTGCAATTGAGAATCAAATACTACTTTATTTAAATAATTTTAAAATTTAAAAAAAGTTATTCGTCACATTTTGAATTGTTTTTATGAATGCAATTTATGATAACTTATTTATATTATATATAATACTCACTTTTCCCATTTTATGCTTTTTAATTGGTGATGGGACATATCGAGCATCTTCATCACTAGAACTGCTTGCCTTGCTCATGTTGAATAAAAAATAATATAAAAAAATAGCAAATAATGGTGGGTGCACAGTGTTTTGACGTGTTGCGAAATGAACGCGTTAACTTGTGGTACTGTAGAATCGTGAATACATGTGATATACGTTGTTCACTACGTATACAACAGAGGCGCGTCGGCGGCGGCAACTCGCCAAACATCAGCGCTCACCGTGGAAACTGACATGCGCGAACCAGACGAGTTTTCGTCGGTCGAGTGGGCAAGGTTATTCTGAATAGACTATACCTCCCGGATCTTTCCGGCTAGCAGCGTGGCCTTCTCATTCCCCTTGACCTCGAGGAGAATTCCTTCCGCCCTAGTCTTCCTTGTCGTCAGAACCTTGACGCCAAGGGACTGGAGGTGATCCTCCCTGCTACCCTCTTCATCACGGAGGCTAGGGAGCCTCCTTCAGCTGGTCGGTCGATGGTGACCGCCATCGATCGCGGAGCTCGCTTTTGTAGTACAGCCACTTGGTCGGTGACCGTGCGAAGTTGACGAGCCGGCTTCGAGGGCTTTTTCTTGACGATCTCGCTCCAAGTCTGCTGCTGCTGAGGTGAAAGCAGCGTTTCCAGATGCTGTTTTTGCTGCTGCTGGAACCGATGCTGCTTCTGTTGCCGCTGCTGGTGCTGAACCTCTGACCGCACGGGTTGCTTCTTCGGCTGCAGCTCCCTTTTTCTCCTCTTTTTCTCCCGTCGCTGTTGCTGTTGCCCCTGTTGCAGATCTTTTTCGTCCACTGCTTGCGGGGAAGCAGTGTTCGTGGCAGCATCTTTCTTCTCTCGGCCAACAATTACTCCGGGGGCTCCCGTGTTGGTAGCCGCATCCTTGACCTCTCGCTTGGCAGGTGCGCTCGAGCCACCAGTAGTTACCAGCGCCTTCACGTACCGCAGCGACAAATTGAATGCCGATGTAACTTCAGCTCAACATTTCTGGATTCCTCTGACCACCTCCAAAATGTCCCTGATCGCCGAGCTGACCGTGGGGCTATGGCTCTTCTTAGATACAAGCTCAAGGTGGGACGCCTTTTCGGACAGGAGGTCCAGACCACCCTGTTGCAAGCAGAACTTGGACCCAAGCTGCTTTGTTGCCGCCCAAAGTGCCTCAGTTGCTGGTCCGTTATCCAACTCCGGCGTGGCCTCCGCAGTAGCCGAAGCGACTTTCCGGTCGCCGATGCAGGCCTGCTTGGCACCTGCACCAACAGTCATGTTACCAACCCCATGGTTGGTGGTGGATGCCTGCCTCAACACATCCACACTTTTCGCGCCGAACACTGATGACGACTTTTGGGGCGTGCGCGTGCCCCCAACCGCCGGCTCTGGGGTTACCGATCCCCCAGTAGCAGTAACATTTGCTTCTTTTTTCACGTCCATTTCATATTGAATTCTGGCTTGTGTTCCACTGACGGCACCAGCCTCGCGCCGTCTATCTGTTTTTCATGTTCCTTTCCGATCTACCAGGGCACCGGGGGTCGATCAAACCCCCGTTGGTGAACTTATCCGCGACCGCTTATTCGTCCGAACCCAAAAGAGTGGCTTATTTCGCGGCTACTCTGCATATCTGCAACCTAACCTGGGGACGCACCCGGCGGCATGCTCATGCCCCGACCGGGTACTTCAGGTGACCTAACTTTTTTTTTTTTTTTTGAAATCGTGGCCAGGGAGAGAAGTGGGAGGCCCATTACTGCCTCCCTGGTCAAATCGTTTATTGTAAGAACATCTTAAAAATAATGGGGCACATCGAAAGGTTTTTCATCAGGGTACGGCATCTTTCCAGCTTCTCCTTCCTGCTCATGATTTCCTCAACCATGGTGTGGAAAAGGTTTGAGTTTGTGCAAGCTGCGGCCAAGATTCTATCCCTCTGCTGTTTGTCCGGAGGAAGATCATCAGGTGGTGGTGGAGACAGCAAATCCGCGACATCCTCGGGACCGGGCGGTCGGCCCAAACGTGTTGAAAGCTGCTGCCGGGTGGTGTCCCAAAAGGGGCAGACAAACACTGTGTGCTCAGCATCATCGTCGGGTGCCTGACAGTGCACACACGCTGGGCTGTGTGCCCTTGCTCTGGAGAAGAGGTATTTCTGTAAACACCCGTGCCCTGTTAGGACTTGGGCCATGTGAAAGGACACCGTTCTTGGGCCATCATGCCACCATCTCCGGACGTCTGGGATGAGGTGCCTCGTCCAGGTGGCTTTTTGGGTGGTGTCCCACAGTGCTTGCCATTGCCTGACTACCTCCCATCAGGTGACCTAACCTTTTTTTTTTTTATATATCGGCAATACACCCACCACCCGGGAATGCCGTGAAGCAATACTTCGGGTGGTGGATCGCCATCGTTTATTGATAAATATTATAATAAACAATTTGTCACAAGAGGGTGACGGTAGGACAATACCCTACCTGAGGTGACCTAACCTAATCTTTTTTTTTTTTTTTTCATGTTTAAATTGACGACGCCACGGGAACAGCTTGCGCATTACTTCCGTGGCGCCGCCATCGTTTATTGAGTTAACAACAAAATGCATTTAAGCATACATGGCACCCCCACCTCGAGCGGGCGCTAATGTACACCAAGGTGTTTAAAAGAAAACGACCGAGGAGGGGAGCCGCGTTCGCGCTACATGATCGTGATTTACAAGAAATTGTTGGACTTTAGGTTGGCAGCTGCTGGCGGAGCTTCCACTTGCTTCCTTCGGTGTACCGTAGGCAGCTGAACAATGCAGAGTCTGCTCCTCTTCACCGAATCCTATAACGGAGGGTTCTCTCCAACGCTTGGCGTTCCCATTCGTCGGCCTCCTTGCGCTGTACTATGGAGGTGAACATAAGGACCAGCTCTTCAGTGTTGATGCTAGCCTGAATTCTGATCCTGGTCCTCGTTTGTTGATCATCAGGTAGATCGGTGTCCATGGGGCCACACAGAATGTTCCCTACGTCCTCAACTGTAGGTGGACGACGAAGAAGAGCCGTCATGCGTTGCCTAATATTTAGCGTCAACTAATATTTTTACATGTTGTAATAAAGATATTAACTACAATCAAAACCAAATCAAGAAACAAGCTTGATGTCGAACCCACGATGCGTATTTCACTTACTAACTTCATAGAAAAACTCTAAATTGATTCATTGGTAAAGCAACATCAAGACCAAGGAAATCATTAAATTAAAAATTATTTAAAAAACAATACAATATTATTAAAAGAAATTTTTATTTTTAAATATAATGTCATTAATATTATGACTTCTTATGAATACAAGTAATATGAGTAAAAAATATTATTAAATTAAGAGTACCAAATAGTTATTTTTTATTCTGCCATTGAATATTATTTATAAAAAGGTCGCAGTAAAAATTTGGTAAATATCTTGGGTCGCCATTACACAAAGGTTAAGAACCGATGATATATATTATGTAATTAAATTTTTTTTAACAAAGTTAAGTCATGTTGGCGCAAAGAAAAGCCAGTGGTATAAATAATTTGATTTAGTAAATTTAGTTTAATAAAATTTAGTATACAGGGTAATTTGTTTATCGTGAACCAGTTAATATCTCGGGAAATATTAGGAATTTTAAAATAATTTTTTTTAAACTTTCTAGGTTTTACTATTTTACACTGTGTTACAATATTAATAATTTTAACTTCCTCCCTTATTTGATACAACACTATCATCTTTCGATAACGAAAATTTATAAACATACTGAAAAAAATAATTTTAACGTTTACAGAATTTAATTTCAGTAATCCGTTTGAGACTTATTACCGTTAAAATATTCGTTCAATTAACTGCTACTGTGCAATATTAACTGATTCACGATAAAAAATTACCTTGTATGTAAATAAAATACCAATAAATATATGTAAAAATATTATATGAGTATTAACTTTTAAACAATTTGTATTGTTTTAATTTTTTTTTTTTTTTTATTTTTTTTCTGCAGGCCCAAGGCAAGCTTATACCTGCTAAGAAAAATAAGAAAGACGATTTGATTGAGGAGTTGATGAAAATGGCTTATCAACGCCTTAAACAACCGCAGGATGATTACGATAAAATAGCTTCTGCTTGGGCAGTCGAACTAAAAAAAATGGATCCACAACAGTAGTTATATGCAAAAAGGCTATTAATGATATAATATTTGAGGGACAAATGGGGTAGGGACAAAATCCCCAATTACAAAAACTTTAACCCCTTTAAGGCACGTGAAGGGGTTGACTTATCACGCTCAAACTTTATCATAATTATTTTTTTAATTCAAAGAACAAAATTTGAGGTACTCATCTAGTTTTTCAATTCGAAAAATAAGGACCACCCTATTGTGTAACTTTACGTAAATCCGTCAATGGGACTTGACTTTAATTAGTCTTTTATTTAAATTAACAATAATTATGGGGTTTATCAAACTGTTGAAAAATAAATTATCTTTTGTTTTAGGTTTGAAACAATTTTTTTGATGGGGATTAACAGCAGGCACGGCGCCAGAATTTTCTTTCTAGGGGGGCGGTAAAGGGCAAGTAAATTTTTTGAAGGGGCAAGTTCAACGATTTTACTTCTTTCAATAACAATAAAAAAAAAAGTTAGGTAATGACTATTGATTTATGTATCAGTAAACACTATAATATTGTATAAGTGAATTTCTGCATGTAATATGAAATTATTACATAATAGTAATATTTGAAAATAAAAAATACAATTAAAGGATCTATGATTTAAAAATTAAAAAAAAAAAACATTTTAACTGTATAGGTGCATTTCAGCATAAGACATAAATTTAATACTAATATATAATAGTAATTAGTTACATTTAAATATGAAAACATTTTTAAATATTTAAGTGAATTTCTGCATGTAACATAAATTTATTACATAATAGTAATATTTAAAAATAAAAATACAATTCAAAGAAAAAAATAAGAAAAAAATTTAAATAAGCATTATTTTTCGATTGTGATGAGCAGCAGAAAACTTGTCCACAACCTTTTCCATATCTAGATTTTTGGAAATGTTTTTTTCAATTGAAAGAATTGCTATATCTGTTAGTCTTGAGTTAATCATTTTATTTCTTAAATAAGTTTTAATTTATCGGAGGCTAGAAAAAGTTTTCTCCACTCCGGCACTGGAAGGAGGTATGATAATTGCTATGGTACATAGTAAATATAGTTCAGAAAATGCCAATTTGTAACATTCTAATAATTTAATGAAATCGAGTATAGTGTTAATTTTAGTTTTTTTTTCTATCTGATGTCTTTTTATGAGTTTGGGTATTAACTTAAGTTCAGATTCCAAGCTTTCAATATCAACATCATAATGCTTAGCAAAAGGTAATAATTTTTGAAAGTCTAAAAAGGATTTATTTTGAGGATTTAAGGAACTTATACCAGATAATATTGGATTATTATCAGAAAATCTACGTTGTAGTTCATTGATCATTCTATCAATTACAGGATTAAATATGATTATCTTACATCATTCTTGCACATAACCGTACTATTTTCAGATGTCGGTAGTTCTGTAATATAAGATGCAAATCTAACAGGCAATTTACGATTAGTTCTTTTACACATTATGTTTTCTTCAGGCAATAGAATGTTATTATTTTCCGCAAACAAAACAACTTTTTCCAAAAGCACATTAAATAATCTATCAACTGTTTGAAATTCCTTAAGATAATCAATTAATGATTCGACCATTAAGCAACTAGTTCCTATATCTGAATTGGGTAATTGTAAATAATCAGATACAATTTTTATTTGACTAAATGTATCACAAAAGAGATGTAAACAAAAAATAAATTCAAAATTAATGTGTACTAAAATGGATTTTGCCTCCATACTTTTATCAGATTTTGATTCCACACTGATTTTATTTAGTAGTAAAGCTATGGTTTCCTACCTAGAAAAGCGGTGCCGTTATCTAGCGGCCGCCATTTTACGGTTAAACCTAACGGCCGTCTTTACGGTGACCAAACTGTGGTTTCCTAGAAACTGGTGCGACCGCATTCAATTGTAGTTAATCAGTACTTACTCGAGCGGTAGGTCGTGCACTGGTGGAAAATGGACGATCTGGACATAGCTTTATTGGTATGTTTGGAGGATGAAGAGTCATCAGAAGATGAAAAAATAGTTCGGAGGAAAGTGTGATGTTCAAATATCGTGATACTAAGGGTGCATTTAAAATTTTAATGTGTCATCCGGGCTTGTCTATACTCTTTATATTTTATATTGTATAAAGCTTCATTATCTTTTACAAAATCAATTAATAGTTCATTATTTTCGCTCGTCCAAGTCGCGTTTCCACTCATTTTATTAAATAAATGTTCACCGCTACACACGTAAAAACGTTGAACAACTGTTTATCACCGCTATGACGGCCGTCATGCAACTGACAGCACCGCTATTTGACGTTACGGTGACACTCAACGTACTCTAGGAAACCTACTCCGATGTTATTTATAGAAAACGTATGAGTGACGTCACCCAACGCTATATTACGGCCGCTAGATAACGGCACCGCTTTTCTAGGAAACCATAGCTTAATAGTATAACTGAAAACGTTTCCCTTACAGCAACACATGCTGATATCTGACAAATCCATCTGGTTTCGCATAACTTTTTTAGTTCAATAGTATTCTTTTTAGGAAAAATTTTTTTCTGGAGATCCAAAAAAACCATATGTACAGTAGATCTGCTTACAAAATTATACAACTGTTGAAGAAGTGTTATAAATTGTTCAATTTCTGGAATATTTTTACAAACATCCACAATAACTAAATTTAAACGGTGGTTATAACAATGTGTGTATAATGCTTTTGGTACTTCCTTTTGAAAAATTGCTTGTACACCATTTTGGTAACCACTCATTACGGAAGCACCATCATAGGTCTGTGCTATGCAATTTTGGATGTTTATTCCAGAAGCTGCTAAAGTTTTCTTAATAAATTCAAACAAGGCCTTGGCATTTAGTTCAGAACAAGGTACATATCCCAAGAACCGTTCATTTACTGTATTGTTATAAAAATAACGTACCATAATTGATAATTGTTCAGTTTTACTGATGTCTTTGGTTTCATCCGCCAAAACCGAAAAGTATTTAGATTTTTGTACCTCATTTGCAATTGATTCAATAACCATTAGACTCATAATACTAAGTATTTCGTTTTGTATACTGTGATGTGTATATTTTGCATTTTTAGGCAACTCATCGATTTTTTTTTGTAATCTTTTATCTCTTTTAGCACAAAGATTTAAAAGTTCTAAAAAATTACCTTTATTTATGCTTTCACCACTTTCATTATCTCCACGTTGAGCAATGTTTTGACGGGCTGTAAAAAGTAATATTTCTGCAACTGTTGCAATATAATAACGATTTTCTTTTATTAGTGTCTCATTTTCTTTATTAATAAGGGCTAAAATAGATTTATTAGTTTTTTCAGTCATTTTATATCCTTCCCATTTAGTCATACATAATTTATGTGAAACTGATTTATCATGTTGCTTTATACCACTATTTTTTTCCATGGCTTTTTTTCCAATTCTTAAATCCCGATTCGGAAAATGGAGATCCAGAAGGATCAGTTGAAAAAAATCGACAAGGAAAGCAATAACATGAATTTTCCAAAATACTGTATTCTAACCATGGATACAACTTAAACCATTCAGAATGAAAATTTCGCCATTCTTTGCCAAATTTTGTTCGTGGATAATTTTTTAACACCGGCTGAGTAGGGTTATCAGAAACAACTTGTGTGATGTCACATGGTCCACTTTGAGGTAATAAAGATTTAATGCTTACTTGATCTTTGTTACGTGCAGTTTTTACTAAATCACAATCAGCACCGTCTGAATCTGTTGACGATTCGTCACAACTGCCTATAAAACATTAAACTTTAAGAACCTTGTAAACTAAATAACGTATCTGGTACCTTTAACCTAAATTCACCAATTTAGCTAATGAATATTAGGATAGTATGATGGCTAGTGGCGTATTTACGGGGGTATCATGGTGATCAATCCCCCCTCATAGGCTGACAGGCTGTATAAATACAAATAATTATAATCATCTAATTTTTTTTTTTTATCAATTATTGATTTTGTGATGTAATAATTAACTCAACTTAATTCAATTTTGTTTTAATAAAATATTTAATCTCTAGTAATGTACAGGGCCTGATTTAATAAAATTATGATCAAGTGCACAATTTTTTTTGGGGCCCTCAAGTCAAAAAAATGTTCTAGAAAAATTCTACATAGAGAAGTGGGGAAATGTAATAATAAAAAAAAATATTTATATGTTAAAAGTGTTAAATACCAAAATACCTATCTCAAAACTCATAAAATATTTGTACATTATTTCATATACTATAAATACAATTTAGTTACTTGGTCTAGTAAATTAAGGACAATGAAAAGACAATACTAATTAAATAACATAACAAAACTATACTATATTAAAATATTAAAAATACTTAAGGATATTATTATATAAATTTCAATTTAAATTAATTAATTTCAGTCTTCCATAAAATTATAAAAATGGAAAATAACAAGCTTAGCTTTTGAAAAGAGAACCAATGTATTTTAATGTAATTTTTAGTTTGTTACTCATAAATTGTTTTTAATTGTTAATTTGGTGACAATAAATATTATTATTATTATTATAACTTATTAATTTAACAATTTATTCTATATAATTAAAATTAAATAATAAATGACCAATTTTTATACAAATTTTATACAATGTTTTTAAAGGAATGTACAATAATATATTTTTCCAAATTTTCTGGAGTAAAGTTAGTACGGCGGTCCGTGATAATTGTCTAATATATGCTGAATATCCTTTAATATAATCCAATATATCAAATATAACAGAAATATGCTAAAATATTCTATAATATGTATTATGTACCATAAACTAAAATATTCTCTGAAGTCAAAATATGCACTAATATGCAAAAAAAACTTTTTTTATCTAACCTATTAAAATGTTTAATTAAATGTTAAAATAAAGATGTAAAAAAGTAAAAAATATTTAATTATTGAAATATCTTTCACATAAGTATTACAATATGTGTTATTATACCTAATGTTAATACTAATTTAGTAATATAGGTAATTATAAATAAGTAATATTATATTATACTTTTTAGCCTATACTATTTAGGTCTTCAGATAATAATAATAATATATTATATAATGTACTAAAAATATTAAGAATTTTAAGTTGTTTTTTGAGAAAATTGAAAATGTGATGGCATCAATAAGTGATGCATTTCTCATTAAATAATACGTTGGTATATTTGAATTTTTATATTTTGTGATGACGAGAAATTGCAAGGGCCGGTCAAATATAGATTTACCGGGCCGAAATGTTGCCCCAGTCCGCCCCTGGGCATATCCCCCCTCGAGTTTATAATTACTGTATTAAGTCACATTCCCCCCCTTCATGACAAAAACCTAAATACGCCACTGATGATGGTAGTAAGTAGTACTGTTGGTTACTTACTTGTGTTTATGTCTAAATCACTTTGCACATCCCATGATTGCACCAAATTAGTAATTTCCGCCACTGTATTTGTAGTTTTTTGTTTTTTTTTGTAATTCTTCTTCATTAGTCGAACTAGTTTGAGGACCAAAGTAAGAATCAATTTTTCTAACACTCATTTCGATATTTTAACGTGTTAAACGCTTAAACTGGTCATACAGTCGTCATCGGTGACTATTAAGTATAAACTGTCGCGAGTGTTGCCGTTATGATTGTTGAGAATGTTGAGATTAATATAAATATGAAATGTATCTATTATATCTATATACAAACAAAATGCGGTAAAGCGGGCGCATTAACACACACATACATATACAATGAACAAAATATGTCGAGCAATGACAAGTTGTGTGGGAAACCCGACTAATAGGCGAACGCCGCTATTTTTAAACATTTAATCGTGGCACTTTTATCGATTACGGCAAAATTACGGAGAGTGGAACAATGAACATTATCATCCTATTTATTATTTACGATTACGAAATAATAAATCAAAATAAATACACTCCTAAACTGTACAAACTTTAAAGTATAGCACTACACTGCTACAGTGATGGTGAATAATCGTCGATAAACATTATGAGGAAACCAGCTGGCCATGGTCCGGTTATTCGAAATCTCAGAATATTACTTGTGTTCAAAAATCGTTTATATTACAAAAGTTGGGACTTGGGGCCGTTGGGGAAATAGCTTTTTATAGTGCTCCATAGTCACACACCAGTTAATAGGAGTTAAAATATCTGGGGGGGGCGATCGCCCACCCTCGCCCCCCCTTGGCGCCGTCCCTGATTAACAGTTGACATGAATATAAAGATATTTACAAATATGTATGTAAGATCTATATTATATTTATTCAATATGTGTATACTCCAATTATTTATTGAATTACTTTTTTTTTTTAGATTAAATTGTTTGCAATATTTAATTTTTTTTTTTTTTTTTGTTTTAGATTCAGATCAAATTTTTTGATAAGGATGAACTGTTGACATAGATGAACAAAAATCAAGTAATATTGATGTAAGATGAATATTATATTTATTTAAGTATTTGTTTACGTTAAAGAATAATTGATTTTTTTTTTTTGTTTGAAATTATTGTTTTTTTGTTTTAGATTCGAATCAAATTTTTTGATGAGGATTAACAGTTGACATATATACAAAGATATTAACAAACATGAATGTCAGGTGTATATTATATTTATTTAAGTATGTGTGTACTTCAATGAATAATTGAATAACTTTCTTTTAGTTTAATTTGTTTTAAGAATGATAAAAATCATTGAGGTTCTTGTTTGTAATCAAATAGGTAATGTTGATCATGGTTCCCTTGCACTGTTATTATTTATTAAAAATTGGACTTTTTCAGTCAGAAAACTTATAGAAAACAACATCCCGAGTACTTAACTCCAAGCTTATTTGTTATTATGAAGAATGGACCACTGAAATTGGTTGACGTGGAAAGGTCATTCAGTTTATAAAAAAAATTGATAAAACAAATTAAATTCTTAACAATATGGCTAAATACAGTATAGTGAACACCTTTTCACAATGTTGGATCTTAAATTATAAAATTTATTAAATATTTATATTCTATTATTTAATAACATTTGTTTATAACTTACATATCAAAGAATAGGTGCACAACCTTGTTTACAACAGTTATTTATTGTTTTTTTTTTTGTTTCACTCTTATATGTATTAACTGATTTAAACTTAATAATTAAATAAACAGTAAAAATGTATTTTATCTTACTATGAGGTTTAATAATATCTTGATTTTATCAAATACCTGTGCACCCATTATTTAATTATAAAATAAATTGTTAAATAATAACTATTTATTGTTTTTTTATTTTATTTAATTTAACATTTATTGTTTTATATATAGATAAGTTTAAACGGTTTACCAAAGTAACTATAACTAACTATGCATGTGAACATATATTCTGAGGTTTATGGTTGATTCTGGTTGATCAAGTTTCCGTATATTTTATATTTATAACATGATATACAACATTAATAATAAATGTAATATAAGCATTTACAAATATATAATACATATTTCTAATTGTAATGTCTGTACATATCTATAAATTATTTAAAATAAAACCATATTTGAGCATACTTTACATGTTTAAAAACTATTTTAAGGTTTTTATTTTTAGAGCATATTTTAAACATTTAAGAATCTAAAAATCTGCTTTTTAGTCATGCATAATATTTTTTACAAAGAAATATAAATACATACATTATATAGATAAAAACAATTAAGTGATTTAATATTATAAATATAATATTAATAGGCTTCAAAACAAACGAATATGAAAAACATAATCCTATTAATTAAAGTTTAATTTGAGTACCTGTCAAAGGTCAATTCCATTAAAATACTTCCATTACTAAATAATGAAAAATTTCACACATATTCTGATACATTTTTCACCGATTGATTTTTTCTCTTAATTCATAAAAAATAAATTTAAATATCACTACACAAAGAGTTAGGATTATTGATATATATAGTTTTTATACAAATTTCTTTAAAATATATTCTCAATAATAATAACATAATCATTATATTTGTAATAGTAATTTAATTCTTTAATTTCTTAAAATAATTCTTAACTATGGTTTTAAACTTCTTCTTAACTTAATAAACAAACATTATATAGAATAAATCAACAGTGAAAAGATAAAATGTTCAATATTTTATTACATCTTTTGATTTATATCTCTATGTTAAGACTTATAATATTGGTATCATTTGCATAAGTGGACAACAAAAAAAATATATGATAGCTGAAAATAAATTAATGTAAATATGAAAAAAAGATAAAATTAGTTTTTGAAATTTAAAAATTAAGTGGCATATCATTATTATCATATCGAAATTGGCCATTGTTTAATGTAGTTATACCTAAACCATACAAATGACCACAATATTTTTTACTATCAATCATGCCTTCAAAGTACAAATCACGGATTTTAAAAAAAGCCATGCCTGTTAATAGGGAATCACTACCAGCCTGGTGCTGAGGTCCAATTCGTTTCAACTCCAATTGATCAGCTACCTCCTGTAGACCACCTTTCAAGTTTTTACAGCTCTTCATAAGATACTTAATATCATAAACACAAGGAAAGTAAAGAGAAAATAGTTCAAAGAACTCAGATTCTTCTTGGGGCAGTTTTTCGTCAGTCAACACTTTAACCAGGTAACCAAAATCAAAACTGCTGTGGAATGTCATCCATTTTAAATTGTCCATCAATACCAAGCCAGAGGTAATTATGAATTCAGCAAAAACCAATGGTTCAATTCCGTTCTCTTCATGTTTTTCAAACTGTATTCTAAAATATATCTATTTTATAACATTTATAACCAAACACAATGAAGTAATAAATTTAGGTATTACCTGGAATTTGTTAACAATTCTATACTGTCTTGGGCATACATATCTTCCATTAGATTGAATTTAAAATTAAACTGCCATGTTGTATAAGGACCAGTGGGTGTTTTACCCTCTTCATCAAAAAAAGAAAGCCCTAATTGAATAATTCTTAACAGATCGACATTACAACGAAGCAACTGGTATAGATAATCAGCAGTGGTCTTAAAATCACCTATCGGTCGGGCTACTACCCCTGGAAATTCTGTGTCCATTGCTACATAGCAATATTTTGGCAATAGTTTTCGTATTGACTTAAATTCTTCTTCTAAATTATGAGCCCACACGTCCTTAATACCACAATCAGGCCATATCCCTATTTGCCCTATTTGTACTTCTGCCTCTAGTTCTTCTAACTCTGAAGCAGGAGGTGTTTGACTAGTAGTTGTAGACATTCTTCTTATTAACTTGACCTGTAATAAATACAATAATCTTATGAATGTATAATTTTAAAATTGTCTGCAAACCTAAAGAATCTATTATCAGGAATAGCAGATTTTATACTATTAACAAATAGAGAAAAAAGTATAGGTGATAAATGCCTTCTTTGAGGAACACCGAAAGGGACAAGAGATACAGTAGATTTCTTATCATAAGTTTTTACCCATTGTATTCTACCAGAAAATTAGGATTTAAACCATGAAAGTAATGATTCACCAAAATCGACCCATATGATTCTAGATCGAAATTGGTTGGTAATTTCTAAGATCAGATTTATCCTCGGATTTGAATATTGGAGTGCTGTCACTGACAATGAAAAAGAAAAAAAATGAGGCATCCCCACGAAATAAAGAAATTGTAAAAGTTCCAGGTGTCCTCAGGAGATTCATCGAGCGGATGAGCAGAAGGCTTTGAGCAAAATTGTTCTTACGAAACCACAATCATCAAGTTTCTCAACGCAAAACAACAAAGATAAACACATATTTTACTTGGCATGTACCTTTTGTTTTTTACGATAAATTATTTTTTCTCATAATGAATAAAACCGATCGCTTGTTAGAAACAATCGGTTAATTGACACATTTCGCCTAGGTCCAAAAGTGTTCCTAATAAGCGGCTTCTGCTGTACATATATTAGTGATGGGAACAATCAAAAGAACATACTTGAAATACTCGATTGTTCTCGATTGTTTTGGAAATAATCGAGTGAAAAATGCTCGATTACCCATACACTCTTTTAGTTCCGAGTGATTCTCTCGGTAACAAAATTCGATATCTTTTGAAGTAATCGAGTGAAAAGTGCTGGTTAGGTAGATAAGATAACATTTAACTAGTAGGTAGTCGGTACTCGATTACTTTTTGTTCGTATTCTTCACTCATCACATCCGAAATATTTGTAATCGTATTATGACAAAAATAAAAATGATACATTATAAAACATTTCGATATTTGTGTTTTTTTCTGTGTCTTCGCTTCCTTCAAAACATTCTAAACAAGTTTATGAACGAATAAAATGGTATTAATTTATTATTGCCATACCATCAAGAAGAATTAGACATTAGACTTGCGTATTATAACTCCCAACACTCGGTTTTGATCATTTAAAATTTATAATACATAACATATTTTAAAGTTTAAAAATTTAATTATTTTGTCGTTGAATCCAACGATTCAAATTCTTTATCACTGCTAGTAAAGATGCATTCATTAAAATTCATTCATTATCATTCATTTTTTCATTCATTATTACAAATGTAGTAATTTAAAATTGACAAATTTTAATGGTATGATATTGTAATATTATATTTGATTTTAGTTTTTTTAAATCATAATAATATTTTTAAACAGTAATTTAAATATTTTTTAACTTTATAACGTTTTTTTTATTTACTATATATTGAGTTGTAATTTAATGAGTATCAATTTTTATTGTTTTAAACAAGGATGTCATTTTATTTTATTTATATGAAATTGATAATAAACTAAAGTATTCCCAAAAAAATATAACATGTTTAATTTTATGGTTCATTAATACAGTGAAAACTGTCTAAAACGGAATCGCATGGGGCCAACAAAAAATTCAGGATTATTCAGTTATCCTTTTATATTCATATCGATCAATTGATATTTTTCATAGACACTTATACTTAGACATTTTAACATTTAATACGATGAACAGGAGATAAAATTAAAAGTGTACGCACGACTATTATTGGTGAATGACAGTTACAAAGAAGAAAATCCGTATCGTTTATGCGATAATATGCATTGTATGTACATATATTGTACGAATATGTATAAAACAATTTTATCTTCTTTATCAATCACTATTTAACGATATACATACAACTATGTGCATATCTATATTTTAGGTTTAAAGTACATATGCGCGTGTCATTTTTCAGGTTTATGCAAGGTTTCTACTTAAATAGAACTTACAAAATCGTTCCGTTTTCGCGTTAAGAAGGTTCCGTTTTATTGAGGTTCAGCGTCTATATAAAACTATAGGAACGTGCCGGGACCAGATAAAAATTCCATATTGGATAGTTTTCCGTTTTTTTCAGGGTCCGCTTTAGACAGTTTTCACTGTATATGGTATATATTTATAATATATTATGGTTAATGTATTTACTATAAGTAATACACCGTACTTATTGGTTTAATTATTATTGAAACGAACCAGCGATTTCATAATATAGTTTTACACTACTGCCTACTAGAATTTTAAATTTTTATTCAATAATCAGTAAATAGTTACTATTAACTACGTACTAGTCTCTTTTCTATGGTACTAACCGAGAGATTTTTTTCGAGTGAATCTCTCGATTGTTTTAAATCTTCTCAATTACTAACCTGTCGATTGTTCCCATCACTAATATATACGTATAAGTACAGGCAGTGGCGTAGTTACAGGGAGGGTGTAAGGGATTTCTACCGCCCCACAGATTTTTTTTTAATGATATTTGATTATTATTTATTAATGTTTATATATTAGAGTAAAATATTTTGATTTTACTATGATTAGGTGTATATTAAAAATTGAAAAACAAAATAATTGTCATTAAATACGGGACATAATAATAATACCATTTTAAATGTAATATTATTACATATGACCTCGTTTTAAGATGTACTAACACATAAAAACCCCCCCCCCCCCCAGAAAAAAATTGTATCTACGCCACAGTGTACAGGTGTGTATGTACATGTACAAGTGTTTTTATTAATTTATCATTCTTTATTCTTATTATTCCGATTGACGAGTCATACATGTTCGGATTCAGATGATGGTGTTCGGTTTTGAACTTACGTGAGTCGAAGGCAACCATAAACGCTGACCGTTTGCGCTACAGCCTCTTGGTATGGTCACCTGCGGTGTTCACGCGCCGAACGGCGAGATGGACCGACGGTGTCGTGGACCGGGAACAAAACGCGGCGGGCGGATAGCGGCGAAGAAGAATAGCGCGTCGTCGGCACCGCACGGACACTGCGTGCGAGAACGCACGGGCGGCCGAACGACGGCTACAGGAACGTGTGTGGCGGCGGGTCGTTGCGCGCCGATATATCGCGGGGGAATACCGCCGCGTTCGCGTCTAAAAATAGAAATCGCCTGCGACCCACCATTCCGATCGGTCAGAGAACCGTCGACGGGCGTGACGCTGTTTTGGACGGCAACGCGTCCAGCCGACGGACGTTTCCGCCGGATCGCGACAAAAAAAAAAAAAATCACGTCTTCCGTCCGACGACGAAGTCGCAGCGCAGCGGCGAGAACGCTTGTGGTGTCCGTCGCAGTTATTCCACGTTGCACGAAAACGTAAATGTCGGTGCACCCCTCGAGTACGTGTAAACTACGTGTACCCGTTGTATATTTTATTCACGGATTTCCGTTTGTCCTTTCACCGAGACATTTCTTGACGAACATAGGTGATACCTACCTGCTCCACTATGGCTAAGGGTACGTCGTTTCACGTATTGAAATTGTCGAATATTGACATACCTACTTTAACCACGTTTTGAGGACGAAGCTTCAGTGGATAATTAGAGAAATTGGTATGAAGTTGCAACAAGAATACCGTATATAAGTTAGTGATGGAAATGAAATGAAAGAAAAATGTTTTCCCTTGGGATATTTTTTATAACATTGCAGTCAGTGATTGATAATAAATTAAGATAATAGAAAATAATACAATACATTAATTTAAATCTAAGACTACTAATTTCTTGTATGAATAAAAATACAAATTATATACTTTACCTCATACTTTAAAGTAGATTAAAATATTTAAAATATTATATTATATAATATATTTATATAATTTTATATAAATTTATATTTTTATTTATTTTATAATTTTATATTTTATATAATTTATTTAATATTATATTTAAAATAGATAAACTCATAAAATTATTGATTTTTAATATATATTTCTCCTGATTTAGGGAGGGAGTTAACACCCAAAACCACCTCGTGGATCCGCCACTGAAAATACCCCTCAATGAATGAAAAAAAAAATTATGTTGTCTTTTTAGAAACGAATCAAAAATTATCAGATGATATTATTAAAGTACCTAGTTTATGAGATATCTGATGATATAGCTGTATGCTATATTTAATAGCTTACATTAAAAATACTTAATTGAATATCAGTTAATTAAATATAACAACATCGTAAGTGCTGAACCTTAATTTATAATAAAAATTAACTTTGACCAGCTTAAAATCATTCAAAGATTAAATAAGTATATAAAGCTATATATAATATTAAACAATAAGTTTTTCACATAGACACCTCTAAAAATGAGTTAGAAAATATATTGAACAATATAATGTGGATAACTAGTCACTGTAACATACATAAAAGTTAAAAAGCAAACCGTCAAGGAAAAAAATCCAGCTAAATTAAGAGAAATATTAAATTATAATCAAATATATTTTTCTGACATTAAAAAATCAATAGCAGTTAACTCATTCAATACTTGGCAAAACCATTGATCGAAACAAATAACTAAATTAAACCAAATTAAATAAATCATACAATCATGGCCTCAAACATCCAACAAATCCAACAAATTAAACATAACAATCAACAGATTAAGAATTGGGCATACTTGTCTAACGCATGGCCATCTATTGGATAAAGAACTAACAACATGCAAGTCATACTACAAAATATTATCAATCAAGCATATAATTACAGACCAACAATCGTTGTCAACCTTATCCCTATCCTCAAAAATATTGGACTTAACAAATTAATTTATCAAATAAAATGTTTTCTATTAATTAATGTACCACAGAGATATAATAATGAAGTTGAAAAAAATAAATAAATGTAATGGCCACAGCAGCCAAAATTGTATTTTAGATAAATTAAAAAAAAGTTTTTCTTTAGAAATTTCAATAAATACATGTAAAAACATACAAACTATTTGAACAAAAAATCTGTACTCACAACCATAAATATTCTTAAAATATAAATATTTGTTTTAATAAATCATAAGAGTAAAGTGTACAAAATGCATTTTCCAAACTCATATTTTATTAAAATCTCCAAGCTATAAAATTTTGGTTTATATATTATATCTTATTATAGAAAGACTTAGTCAAAAATAATATGCAAACCCTAGGTGAAGGAACGAATTGGAATGAGCAATGGATATAGAATGATGAAGGAGTGGGTGTGAGATGGGATGGTCTTGAAAGACCTTTTTAACTATTAGAAGATTACTGTGATTTTTCATTTTTATTTGAATAATTTCATTACTGTTTAATTTAACTAAATGTATATGTCAAATTAGAAATAAGTGAAAAGTAAATAATGAAAATACTACATTAGGGTAAAGTTCCAAACATTCCATTATACTACAACAGATATTATACACAATACTTTTTAAAAAATGTAGTCTGTTAGCAAACAAAATCTAGTATGTTTATTATAAATTATTATGTACGGAATTAATTCCATAGATAAAATAAAATAATATATACAATTTTTAAATAAAGTGTTAACCTTTTAATTTTTGTTAGTAAAAAATGTTAAAAAAAAATGTATAGATTGTATTTAAAATAGATATTTCATGTAATTAAGTTACTCCTTGTACATATGTATACATGGTTGGTACTAAATATAGTTTTGATTACAAAGAATAATAACAGTTTATTATGTGTAGATGTAGATCATATTAGGATCAGCACTACTGTTGATAAATTATAAACAAGTTTACATTTAAAAAACTGACAATCAATTTGGTTGTAAATACAAATATTAATAACCTGTATTTATTATTTCATTTTTACTCAGCATATTGTTACATCTGATTGTTAGTAATTAATTAATATAAATTTACAAATAACATAAATATACAATAATTATACATGTTTAATGAAATGATTTCAATCAATTACTAAACAGAAATACTTATTGCATCACATATCTAACCTAACTATATTATTTTTATGTTTAATCTATTATATAGAAACAAAGTATGAAACATTGAATAGGAAAATATCATACACAAAACTACTAATACATTTAATTGACTATGGTCAATATTGTGATTATAAAATAATATGAGTATGAATTAAATTATTCATTAAAACGAATGCACAATTATTTTAAAATTAAGACATACAAGTATTTACATATTTATTTTTAAATAAAAATGAATTTGAATCTTAGTACCTTAACTATTTAGAATTATCGTGTTCAATTTTAAAATGACAAGAATCAATTCATACAGTATTACTGTTATTTGAAATATATATGAACAATATGATTAAAATATTTCAACAAAGAATGCAACAAAACAAAAATAGGATCATAATGATTAATAAATTATGATAAAAAATGTATCATAATATATACACATATATTATCAAGTAAACCAAAATTATAAAATTATAAATGCATTAACATGTGTTAAAACCATTAAATTCATAAAATGAACAAATATAATTTTACATTTTACTAAAGATATAATTTGTTCATATTCCATGATACCTAGCTTAAAATTAAATTAAATCTATTTGTTATTTTTAATTTACAATATGTTAAAATTAGTTCCTTTATAGCTACAAATAATTCATGAGAAGAATAAATAAAAAAATATAGATACATTAAGTGTATTAAAAAAAAAAAAAAAAATATTATATAATTGACAATAGACAAAGTAAATAAGAATAGGAATACAGTAAAAGCACCAGGATAGAAGCAAAATGTTGAGATAAATATGTTTAGATTTTGTCAGATATCAGTCAATATAAGTAGTTGTATATTAAATCAATAATAATGTAATTCATTGTCACCAAAGAAATATTTATACTTATATACTGTCAATATTACAATATTTGATTACAAAACGCAAACATCTTATAATTAAAAATACTTTTTTGAAATTACTTAATTTTATTATTTTATAGTGTATATAATGAGTTGCTTTAAATTTAAATTTAAAAATAAAACACTTATTCTAAAAATATATGTACAAAATTATAATAATTCAAATTTAAAAATAATAGTTATGATATTAAGAAAAGTAAAATGCTACATTATATTTTATAAACGAGTACCAAATCAATAGAACATAACAATTCATTTATATTGTGTTGTTACAATTATCAATAAACTTTCATTAAATATTTATTATAAACTATTTAATATTTAAATCATAATACAGTATAAGTGATATCTATTTACTCGAAATTTATTAAGCAATACAGTAAAAATTAATAAAATTATTAATATTAACTTAATATCTTATAAACCACAAAGTTATTCCATAAAAATGTAACAGAATAAATATTATTTAATTTTCTATTCCAATCATTTTTATTAATTCTGAAGTATTATAAATCGATGTGTATGAAATCAAACCTATTAAGGGCATTATTAATTTTATTTTATTAGGAACCCTGTAAGGTATTTTTATTCAAAATAACCTAATAAATTGATCATATTGCATGAAATCATATTACATAAAATATGATATGAAATATTAAATGGTTTAATTAAAAATAATAATAAATAATACTTGATAAGTATTGACTACATTAAACATTTTAATTATACCTTAATAACTTATTAAATAATTAATATTTTAAAAATATAACGTTTCAATCTATTTCTTAAGGAATGTCTAATTTAAACTTAAATTTACTGATAACATTTTAAAATTATTTATCCAAACAAACCCTTTAGTTGTCCGTAAGAGTAACATGAACACCTGATGTTTCTAATCGTTGTAACCTTTTAGGATCGCAGTAAATTAAACAATTTCCAACTTGGTTTGTCTTTTGATTGAGTACAGAGTTTTCGCCATCTTCAAAGAATGTAATACCCGGTTGAAGACTATATTTTTTCTTTTCCAGCCGTTCTTTACTAGCAAATACATCGTGCCTTTCAGTCTTCTTCCATAAATAATAAAAGTGAACAAGTTCACCAACTGTTCGTGTAGTCACTCTATGCTGCTGAATTAAATAGAAATTCTTACTAAAGCAACGAATACCATTTTCAAAATTTTTACATTCTTCTTCTGACCACACCATCATGGCTCTTCTACCAAACATTTGATCATTTAATGAAACTCTGCGTAATGCTTCTTCAGCATTAAAACCACATTGTAAAAGTAAAAATAATGCATTTTCATCATCTCGTACATGTATACCTCTACGTACCATATTTGATCCATGAGATAATTGATGGATGTGGTGAAGATAATCTGCAATTACTGCATCAGTAGTACTTTGAGGATCCCAGAGAAGCTTATCAACATTTTGGTAAGGCGGATCATCTCCATACTTTGATAACCCATCAGGAATTTGGGCTTGATAATCACTACCCACCATTATAGTTTTCTTCTTCACTTCTTCAAAATCACTACCATCACTATCATTGGTAGGATCGGAATAATCAGGACGGTCATTTGTTACTCGTTTGGACATAGTTTCAATTTTACAGTTCTACAAGAAAAAAAAAATCATTCACTAATTTATTTACCATTGTGTACATGAATGAATATGATATAAATCAATACATGTAGTATAAGCTAATCATTCAGGTCAGTTAGAAAAACAGTCAATAAAGTAATCTATTATAAATTAATTAAGCTTTAAAAAAATTCGTTTTACCGTAGTTTAACGAGGAATATTTTTTTCCAGGGGCATTCAGCAATTAGGTTTTTTATAATTCTTTTAACGCACTTGAATTAAAGGCCAAAATCGCACCGCCAAGGCAATACACTTGAGAAAATAGTTTACAAAACAAATGAACTGCTTAATTGTCTATAAACAATGAAATGCAATGTTACCAAATTTCTGATTCCCGATAAACATATGTTTCTGCTCTCGATATCACTCAGAGATTTTAAACAATAATTGTTTAAAATCTCTGATATCACTTAATCTCTATTTATCACGAGTTATCACAAAAAAATTAAATCAGTTTTAGAAAACACGTATTTAAAAAAAATAAATTGAAATTCGTGAAGGGCGTGCTAAAAAGCATGTTAACCAAGATCTTTACAAATCTATCTATATATGAGTATCTTTGTATGTCGTCTCTATTGATAAAAATAGCAGGATTCTCAACGACTTATTAGGCGTTCCAACTTTGTAAATAATTCATACAGTATATTGCTTCTAACGCTAGTAGTCCGGGCAAGGTACCACGGATTTATGTTGTATATTGTGTGACCAGGAGAGTCACCAGTCACTAGTAACCGTTCATTTTTGCAATTGTCGCTGTGACAAAGTAACGGCGACTTGAACATACACTCATCACTACTGTGCGGTATAAGAATGCATTTATCATAGACCAGTGGCATTTCCAGAATATTTTTCAGGGGATGGACACTATCTAAAATTTCATCAATTACACTAACAGAAAAAAAATCAACTTACTATTCAATGTTATTAATGCAAATAATTTATTTATATTTTTAGTATTAGATTATTATCAGATTATTAAATTAGTACATATCTATGTAATTATAAATAATAATAACGGATATTTTAGAACAAAAAAAAAAAATTAATTGTAATCTGTAATGAAAATAATGATAAAATTATTGATTAATTTATAATTATTATTTTTCTTGATTAAACAACTAATGACATAGTAAAATGCATATCCTCTAGCATTACTGAATTTCTGAAAATGTATACCTACATTATATTTACTCTCAAAAATAAATACTGATCGATCATTTAAAATGTTTATAAGTTTATGATATATATTATGATCTATATATTACTATATTAATCATTAGTAATTATTAAAAAAAAAAAAAAAAAAAACAATGTCAAACATTAAATGAATAATAATCAAATTATTTATTGATGGAATTAATTCCAATTACAATAATATATAGTAATACAATATAACAGACATATGATGACTATCAGTTTAGTAATTTATACTATTTAGATCACTAGTATAATATAGAAAATGCACAAGATATTAAATAGATAGGTATATAATTTATATTAATTCTATAATATATATATAATATTTTATAAATAAATTTAATTAGGTATATAAACTTATATTAATATATATTAAATGTAGTGTATTAACTATTATATAACTATTATGGAGTAAATTATTATATAATTATACATTAAATGTTTACTATATAATGTCACTTTATTAAGTATACTTATATTACAAAAAAAAAAAAAACAAATCTAATATAACTGAATTGTCATTGGATATCAACAAATTTATAAGGAATAAAAAAGAATAATCAGTTTTTCTAGTATTCATAGGTTAAAATATAAATATAATATATATATTTTAATTTAGACTAATTGTTTCTCTTTTAATTTTTCATAAAATTAATGATATAATAAACTTGGACATTAAGTCTTGGTAAAATAAAAATAAATAAAATTAATTAAATAATTATAATGATAAAATAGGGGAAATAAGAATAACCATGTATACGTATGTTCAACAAATATCATTTTATAAATTTCAATGATATAGAAACACATTGACACACATATTTATTATGCATTTATACTTCAAATCACAGTCATAGAATTTTACATAAAATCCTTTTAGATGATTTTTTAAATAATTTGTCAGACTACGGGATCTAATTATCACCCATCAGCACCTATATATTTCTAACTTTAAAAATTGTTATCATCATATAGCATAACCACCAAAAAGTGGAAGTTGCACTGTAAACAACATTTCACTATTAACTACGGTAATAATAATATTTGATATGAAAGATATAAGATACAATTCTGAAAATCATATTTAGATGAATATTTGACAAATAAATAAAATAAGATAATGGAAAATTAGAGTTGTAGTTCAACATGATGATTCAATAGCTGAAATTATGTATAGTCCGACTTTATCATCTGAGACCGTAATACATACCACGGATTAGAAAAATGTAATCAAAGAATGATAACAGATACAAATACTACGTATGATAAAAACAAACGAATATTGCCAAGAATTAAATATAATCATTTCTTTTTAAATTTTTATGATCAAATTTTCACCATCCAGCTCTCTATTTATTATCTTATATTTGAAAATAACAAGTCATAAGTAATGGGTAAGTAGACTTAGTTATTGATTATTAAATGTTTATTTTTTATTCACTAATAATAATATTTTTGTGTAATTACTCATTACTATTTCTTACTTGAGTTTTTTAATAATTTTAATATAATATTTTGTATATATTCACATATATAAGTATTTATTATGCTATGCTCTTTAAAATTATACTATATAAATAATAAAGTTGCTTATTAAACTAATATTTTGTACATTAATGTTTAGTATGAGTAAAAGTTTGCTACGCCCACTCATATTAAATTATGTTTAAAGATTTTTTCAACCAAAACATTAATATACATTTATTGACCAATTTTATTTTAAATAGTTTTATGTTTTTATATTACTTATTCATAAAATTAGTGAAATATTTTTCAATTGTTATTTTACACCTATAGCCAATATTTAGTTTATATTAATTACATTTTATATGATCTTAACATGATTTAATTTACCATAATTTATTGATTTAACATTCATCTAATAAAATGTAATAATATTTGTTCACAAAATATTATAATATGTTAGAAGCAAATAAATAATTAGAGTATATAAATGAAAACTGCTTTCAAATTCTGAAAAGCTTTTTACTATTTTATTGTAATGCCTTACACTTTTTTTTACCTTAATATTAAAAATAATTTTAGGTTTTCTTGTTTTGAATGGTATATTAAAAAAATGTATCCAAATTTAGAATAGTTGTGTAATCTTGGGGTACGCTTTTATTTGTTTTTTAAATATTATTTAATTCTTCAGATTTTTAATAAATTAACTTATATATGTCCGAATTATTATTTCTCAAATTTTCTAGCTAACAAATCAATTAATATGTAGAAGATTTTGGTAGTAAATAATATTTCGATATTGATTTGTTATTTTTCTATTGATAGATTTTTATTAAAGCATAAAATAATATTAATTCAATCAATTATTTATACTAAAAAAATATGTTATTTTAGATGTATCATCAAAGCCAACAACTTCACAACAAAATGAATCTGAAAACCAATTACCAGAAGTAAGAATTCGTCAGAACCCTCAAATTCATCTTATTGCTGAGGCAGAACTAGTAGAAAGACGACCTCCTCCCAATTGGAGAACCAATATTAAAATGGATGAAAAACTTACTATTTGTCGAAAGTATTATATTGCAGGATTTTTTTTATTGCCCTTATTTTGGTTAGTAAATTTTGTCTGGTATTATAACGATGCTTATAAAGTTGAACCATTTGATGAACAACCTCAATTTAAACGCTATGTTATAAGATCAGGTATTGGTTTCATATTTTGGACAGTTCTATTAGTTAGTTGGGTATTTTACTTTCAAACTCAAAGATTCTACCATGACTGGGATTACCTTACTTTTAACTTTCCTACTGGTTCAGCTTAAGTATATGTTTTCTTAAGTATTTCTATTATATAATTTCATTTTGTACAAATAATGACTAATAAATTATAATGTAAAAAAAAAAAAAATTTTATATCAAAATAATGTATTATCTTTTAATTTAATATAATATTTTTATTTATATTTAGTCTTATAATAATTATTTCCAACCATTAAAGTATAATTAAAAATTATTATTCATAATCCTTTCAATAATCTTTTGTAGTATTAATCAGTTAAAATATGTCCCAGTGATTCCTATAAAGTGAGTTGTGACACACTGTAACACTAGCATGCTGTCAAAACTTGAACTATTTTAATATAATATCAAAGGTGGACAAGTTAATGAAAATAATTAACTCGAGTTAAGTTAATAGAACACAAGATAATTAAGTTAAAAGTTAACAATAAACAATTCATATATTTAACTTGTTAAGTAATTATTAACTAATAAGGAAAAAAATATTAACTTAACTCAGTTTAAAAAATTTTAATCTAATTTTTTTAATTAGTAAGTAAAACATTTAAAAAATGACTGCGTTCTTTAGAAAGATCTAATTTCCTAAATTATAACAAAGAATTTTATTGAATTTTTTTATCATAATATACAGCGGTGGCGCCAAAATGTTTGAAAAATACTATGACATTGTACATCAAGAAGCCACTCACTACTGTATTTATTTATCTTTATAGTTAAATTTCTTTATACATAATATTCTATTCATGGCCACAACCCAATACCCAAAGGTGGGCCCCCAACATTGGGGCAACTAGGGTAAAAATCTAGGGGCTGCAGCCCTCCTACCAAAACTTAAAATAACCTGTAGATTACCCCTACTCTTATATATTATGTATATTATGTTAATATATTTTAAATTCTGAGCCAAGTTGAATTTATTGCAATGTGTTTTTTTTTTGTATGTGACACCATGTTAGTTAGTTATGCTGTATGCGGTATGCCATCTATAACATGGAATATTTATGTGGGAGGGGGCTAAGCCCCTCTAGTTGTGCCTATGGCTCCCAACCTATAAAATTTAATATTACATCTGATGTACAGTATATGCGACCATTTTACTTTATATAATTATTTTATTTTTATATTAATATTTACGTATAAATGAAACATTTCAACATGTTTTAACTTGATAGATTATTTTTAAATCAACTGTGAAAAACTTAGTTATTTCAACTGCCAATTAAACTAGTTAAGTTGAAAAGTTTATTAGAAAATAAACTAAGTTAAGAAGTTAAGAAAAAATTAACTTTTTAACTAGTTAATTCCTACGTTAGTATATTATTATATGTATTTTATATTTTATTTTAAAAGTCCTATATATATATATTTTTATGCATATTATGTAAGCTTATGTTTTGTTTTTTTTTTACTATAAAAAATATTAATTTCTTGAAAAATTATTAAGGTCAACAAAAAAGACAAATCAATATAGAATATAATTAATGTAAAAGGATTATGTGCATATTATTTTATTTTTTTCTATTATATTATATTATGAACATTTAATCATTTTAATGAGCTTGATTTGGAATTCTCCTATAAGCACAATATTTATGCATTATCTATATTTTGAATAAGTAACATGTACAATTTACATTTATGAATATTTGATGCCTAATATTTATTTATAAAATGTATATTGGATAGTGATAGTATACAATTTTTTTTATAGAAAATTATAGATAGTTTATATATTTAAAATAATAAAAAAAAGAAACTCTGGATTGCACTCTGGGAGTGCCGGTAGAAGTGAAAACTTGAATATTAACATTGTGCATTTTTGAATTTTGGAATGGTTAGGGAATAATTTTGCACAAATTGCTTTAATTATTCAATTTTATAACAATATAAGGTATTGTTTGTAATAAAATAAACACAATTTATAGATACCTGAATATTGTTAGTATCTGCCAAAGGCGTGTTTGATTTGAGACCATGGGGGGGGAGGTAAAATTAATTTTTCTTCATACAAACTTAAAAATAATTTACAGTTCATTACCTACACCTCATGTTCCTGTTATAATGATAAACCAGTAATTTATATTCCTAACTATTTATACATTACATTTTTTAAATAAATCAATGCATTTTATTCAAAAAAAATACGAGCCATGGGGGGCGAATGCCCCCTTCATCCCTCCCTCAAATACGCCCTTGGTGTCTGCAGTTTCAGTTGTTTTAACAAATAAATTTTTCAAATGATGCCGTAATTTTTTTCGCGGTTTGAATAATTTATTACGATTTTTTTTTTTACCTAAACGTCCCTTACGCCAAACACGCAGCGTTACAAAAAAATTAGATCTAGGGCAGTGGTTACCTATCGGGGGGATCGCTTTAAAATTAAAGTGATAGTGATATTGACTATTATTTAGAATAAATATAAGCAGAATAGAATAACTATAAAAAATTATAAATATTAAATTGTGATAGAGGATAGACCACTATCTTATATATATAGTACACACTTTATGTGCAATGTACGTATTTGTTACTGTCTGCGTTTACCAACAATTAGCAAGATAAGTAATTGTTTCTTTTTAGTTTTGTTAAGTTTAAGTTAAGTTTTTTAAACATTATCTACTTTGTATTTCAATTTATTTTTACTGAGCAGGCATATGTATAGAATTATTTTTCTTTGGGAGAAATTTGTTTTTACACCCTATGAAAATAAAGTTTTTATGAACATATATTTATAACAGAAGAGGTTTAGACCTCATGGGTATCCTAAAAAAGGTTGGTAAGATTTAGAATTAGGTAGGGGAACGCTTCTCAATTTTTGATGAATATAGTCCCCCCACAATATTTTTCCCACTTTAACCACTGGCTGTACTAAAGTACGAGATCACGCGGACGTACAATGAGATTGATCAAATACAATATTATGCATAGTTACGATGGTAATTAGTTCACGTGCTGGATACAAAAAAAAACAATGCGATACTATAGTAGAAAACAATAAATTAAATTAAAGGTCGGCATTAAATTCTGCGGTGAAATACTCTGAAACGCAAAATTAATCACCTTCGTGACTAGTTTCCCGGTTTTCCGAAGAGATATGTCGGAAAAATGTTCCAGATTGAGGTTTATAGTAGATATAATACCGTATTTGACAACAATTTAATTATAGGTATTGTCACTAATACGTATTGACCAATTTTATTTCAATTAAAAGTATGGATTTGATGCTTTCAAAATCTTGTAATGCCATTCTAATACATCTTATTTTCTTGGTGGAAAGTATCAATGCCCTTAAACCTTAAATCTTAAACCTTAAACTTCATATTTAGTCAAGATTATTACTAATAAATATAACAATTATAAACAACTAATAATATTATAGAATTAAACTAATAAGTGCATTTTTAGTAAATTGTGAACTAATGACAATTTTATTTTTATTATAATATGTAAACATTTTAATAGCATGAGCACTGTTCAAATACATTTTTTTTAACTACATGTTTTATACATGAATTAACTAATATAATAATAAAATAATACATTATTTATTCATTATGTATTGAGTAACATAGACATTGGAAAAATTTAATTGCGTACGCATAGTCCATAGATAACATTACTTATTTAATTTAACCAAAAATATTAAATTAGGTGTTTCTTAATTTTTACTAATCAGCTGGACAAACTACTACATTGGTTGCTGATTTAAGGAACATATGCTATGTATTACATAAAACTAAATTATTTAATTTTTTTCTATATATTGTTTTTGCTGTACAATTTATAATTTCATCACAGACCTCCGATTAAACTAAAATAACTATACTGTTAATTTTACTTACATACCCTTATAATATAATAGGATAATCTTAAAATTATATTCTTGGTTACACAAGTATTATCTGACCCACATATTTTTGAATATGAAATGATGAGATGATACTTTTCGTCAAGTGAACCTTTATTGCCCTCGTTTCATGCCTTTCTATGCCTTCATTAAGATTCATTAAATTATATACCTACCTATAGTGTTTTCGTTATAACTGCCGATCAACTTTGATCATAATTCACTACGGATAGTCTAGTGCTGGTCTATATATTATTTTTAATCTCGCAATAACCTAATTAATATTAAGTTATTTTTCATGTGCGTTTATAAGTATGCAACATATACAACATCTTTATAATCATATGTAATCTAATATTCTATATGTATATAATATTATTTATTTTATGATAATTAGTATATTACTTAAACTTAATTTATGTATTTAATTAGTGTTCAGAACGTTAACTTAAAAATTATACTCTTTCACGTTCACGTCCAGTGCACAAAAAAGGAACGCGTTCATTTAGCCGTTCATTTCAATTATTTTATTTTATATTTATGAATCACCAACCTCCATTCTGTATAAATGGGACCTTTACAAAATATATTAGTTACATTTTGATTTATATTTAAAACCCATACCTAAACATAATATAATTAATTATTTATTTAATAATAATTTATTATCAATAAATATATTTTAAAAATGGTAAATAATTTCGAATAACCCCAAAAATGATTAAAATTCATCAAAAATATAAATATCATTTATGTTCACGTTCTATTTGAACAAATCGAATGAAGTTCACGTGTATTTCACAAAATATGAACGTGCGTTCACGAACGACGTTCTTTCCAAAAACTGTATTTAATATGTATATTTATACCTGAGCAATAATGTCATTGATTCGAGACTAACGCATGTATTTAGAAAATTATATACTTTTAAAATAAAATGTGAAATATGTAGCATGAGCCATGACCTTAAATATTACATTATCAAGTTTTAAAGATTACAATTACCAATAAGGTTTACTTTTAAGTAAGAAAATCGTCAATATTTGACTACTTTAAAGTTTTCTCGTCCATCACTAAAATAGATTACCTTAAGATCAAAAAATAAGGACAATGTAATTTTAGTAATAAAATATGTCAAAAATCAAATAAATTTAAAAGCCAACAAAAAATTACAGTTTAAAAACACATCGTGCAGTCTCAGTTGTTTGCTTAACTAAAATAATTTTTCCACTTTATATTCCGTTTTATTTTTTAATATTTTCAATAAATTATAGGTACTTCCTAAACAGTTCGTAATTGTATCGAAAAAAGTAAAATCTCCGTAGGATGACATTCAACAATAGGCAACCTTAATGAATAGTGATATCAATAATGACTGATTTACAATAAAATAAATTACATTTATAAAAGAAATATTAAATATTGTACTTTAAATTACTACGTTCTCATATAATATTTAAACTCGATGGCTTAACTAAAGATTTTTTTATCAACGTTTACTAATGGAGTTAAAGTTATAAAAATATTTTTTCTACTACAGTAGAGCCATGATAGTCCGATAAACATGGTAATCCGGACGGCATAAGTCCATTTGTTCGTATAACATTTCGTAGTTTGTACAGAATTCCCGGAACCCAATTAATCTAAAAAATATTCTTATCGACAAAAACAATTTCGTCATTTTTTATAATCCATTATGATAAAGTTATTTATTATTTTTATAATTTAAAGTACAATAAATATAAATTAAAAGTTAAAATCAATTGAATAGGTAATCTTGAAAGACCTCCGGTCATCCGGACAAATCGGTAATCCGGACGATGATCGATTTGAATTCGTCTGGACTATTGAGGCTCTACTGTATGTGAATTAATGATAATTTGAGCTGATTGTTTAATATTCCACTTACAATGTGTATTTTCTTCATATTTGTATGTAACGTCAGAACTAAAACCATCCTTATAAAATATAATCATAATTCATCAAAAAAAAAAAAAAAAAAAGAGCAGATATATATTTAAAAAACGATTTTATATTAAATTTAAAAAAAAAAAAATAATCAGATTTATTACAATCGACATCTATATTTTGTATTTGTTTGAGGTATTGGAAATGTATCTCGATGTTAAAGTGTTTTTATTCGTTTAGTGTTAAAAAAATGAAATGATGTTTATTTATTTATGAGTTTAATATAAGCGTTTACTCTATTTGGAAAACAAATCAGAAAAATGTCTGACAATTCAAGTTTTTGATTAAATGCTATTTACTGGAGAGAATGAGTAGGCTATATACAACTGTCCGCGAGCAAAACATGAATTTTCCCAATTCAGTCCACGTACTTGTTGTGATCGTCCTTGTGCTTTATTGGTGAGTATGAGTAGGACCAAAAACTGCGAACGTTTGAATTCGAATGGCATATCTATTGGAATCATTTCCGTTTAAAATTGTAGTTTTAATAATGTTGATCGTCGACTTTTTCATTAAAAGCCTATTACCATTTCAGAGTCATGGTGAATTCATGTTTCGTAGAAGAATGTTGAGCACGCATGTTAGAACGTGCAATGGCATGTCTGATAAATCAACTGAATTTAAACGCAAATAAGTGTTTATGAATTCATAAACACATGTATACCTATTATTACTATTATTATACTAATTAATAGATATTATAATCATTAATAACATATCTTATTTTTAAAAATATATTGCGATTTATGAATACGTATTTTTATAACGGTATGACGTATGAAAGTACATCACACTGTGGCTTATGTTTTCTCCATAGGATATTATATAATTATTAAATCGTATTTTTATTTATTAGGTAATAGGTATTTATAATAAGTTATTACAATATGCCTATTATATTATATAGTTTTACCTATACATATAATTTTATATAAGTATTTATTATTTAATTCTCTGAACATAAAACTTGAAGCTTATTATCTTATAGAGTAGTATATAATCAGTTAATTAGTTATCAAAATTTGTATTTGGTACATAAAAATCACAACCAATTCTTCAAACTACATAATGCGAATTCCTTAATTTTTAAGACTGGCTACAATTGATGATGATTATAAAAAATAACAAATCCTAGTCATTTTAACAAGATAATAATATTATATTTCTATAGGGCATACAATATATAGAACAAGTCTATTACCATTATGTAATTAGTTAAATATGATACATTGATGATATTGAATGGTCAATGTTCAAGAAGTTTTTCACGTGATAAATATAATTTGATATTTTGTGATGTAATGTTGTGATTATACTTTAATAGTATTACCATAAACAAAAAATAATAGCTAATTAGTGAATTATGAAAAGTGGGGTAGTCAATTCTCTATAAAACCACAAAACATTGAGATGAGAGTTATAAACATTTGATTGATTTTCATTTGATTTGTCATCGTGCTGTGCCTTTGTATTTTTTAAATACATTTTTATAACTTAAAAGTAACTTTTGAAGTATCTGCATATACTTGAAGCAATGCGTCTTGGTGAGTATTTTTGCTAATCAATTATTTTCATACTAAACACTGCATTAAACATAGTATTGATATTTAAAAACTATGTTTTTGACTGTAAAATTAATTGAAAGTGATCACGCTCAATATTGTTAAAATAAAATTTATTGACAAATAACGTCCATCAACTAATATAAATAATAATAATATTATTATTATTATTATTATTATAGTATATTACTTACTTGCTACTACTGAGAATAATTGTATATGTTTTTATTATGCAAGTAGATTTAAAATTGTTTTTACTTTTCCGTTCATTTTTTTATTACAATTACTATTACCACGCACAATAATTATACAAAAAAAATGAATTATATTTCAGCTTATAATATTGAATAAACTAAATTTATGTTTGTGTTGAATTAATTTTCATAGAAAAAGAAACCAAAAAGTCCGTGGCCATTATTGGTTGTGGAGCAGCTGGGCTAGCTGCTCTTAGACATTTTTCGGTCGAGGGGTCTCAATTTACATGCGTGTGCTACGAGCAGACCGACAACGTCGGCGGCACTTGGGTGTACACCGACAACGTAGGCAAAGACAAATATGGCTTACCGGTTCATTCCAGCATGTACAAAAGTTTAAGGCAAGTGTTGTAGATTTGCGAAACTAATACACATTTATTTTCATTAAGAAGGTTGTTTTTCTTTACAGAACTAATTTGCCTAAAGAAATCATGGAGCTTCCAGGATTTCCACACAAGGGCCCTGAAGACAAGTCGTACGTGGCGGCCAATGAAATGCTTAAATACCTGGAAGACTATGCAGACCATTTTGACTTAAAGAAACACATCAAAGTAAATAATTATGATAGTGTCAACGCTGAATGTTGGAAATGCATGATCTATTAATGCGTTTGATTTGTTAATATAGTTCCACCATCATGTAAAGAACATCAGTCCTTTGGAGGGAGATCGTTGGTTAGTGACCGCGATCAACCTACAAGACAACATCACGGAAACGTCTGAATTCGATGGAGTTATTGTTTGCATTGGGTAAGTACCACTTTTGGTTTTATAACCTATACATTTTGATGTATTTTTCAGTTATATTTACTTACAAATTATTGAAATTTATTTCAGAAACTATAGCAATCCAGTTATTCCTGAAGTTCCTGGAATCGAAAAATTCCGTGGAATGAAAATTCACAGTCATGATTACAGAGATTCTTCAGTATTTAAGGACATGAGTACTGTGGTCATTGGTTGCGGACCCTCAGGGCTGGACATATCTTTTGATATCGCAAAAGTCGCCGGAAAAGTAAGAATAAACATCTATAATACTATATTTTTATTCCGATTATATATTTTTAAATTAAAATAATAACATTTTTATCTCAGGTATACCTAAGTCATCATAACCAACGCGTTAAAAACATGAAATGTCCACCAAATATGGTACAAAAAGTAGATATTCAAGAAGTGGTTGAAAACGGTGTACTTTTTAAAGATGGTTCTTATGAGCAAGTTGATTCGATTTTATACTGCACAGGTAAGCCGATAAAATGCATAAAAAATAGAGCTAGTGTTTTATTTATTTAAATATTTTATTTTTTACATTTTTTTTTAAGCAATTAACAATATTTTAATTTTGTTTTAGACTTATTAAGAAATCGGCCTATTATGGCTTGCAAAATCTTGTGGCCTATTTTGGCACGATACCATCAGTGTTCATCTGGGATATTCTTCATTTGAATGGCCTTTTAAAGGTCTTGAATTATAAGATACAATTTTTAATTAAATATTCTATTTTTTTAAATTTAACTTTCTGTTATATTTCTCAACTAAATTAAATTATGCATTATTATTATTATTATTATTATTATTTTATTCAATGCATTTACGTTTTTACTTATATTGAATTTAATTGTGGCAGGTTATACGTATAAATACCCATTCTTGAGCTCCGAGTGTGGTATTCGTGTTGAGAACAACAATGTAAAATGGCTTTTTAAGCACTTTGTTAACATCGAACACCCAACAATGTACTTCATTGGAATTCCTACCAACACCACTGGTTTTTGGATGTTTGATTTACAGGTAATTGAATAGCACATGATAAATTGTATACTGTATTATAAGAGTTTTAGCTTGATCGTTATGTTCTGCAATTTTTCTCAGCTTAAAAAAATGTACTATTTTGTTTACAGGTGCGGTGTGCCAAAACGTTTTTGGAAGGAAAAGCGAAATTACCCAGCAAAGAAGAAATGTTAGAGGACACCCGCAGGGACGTGGAGTCAAGGTTAGCTAGTGGGTTACGACCCAAAGAATTGCACATGATGGGACGTAGATCGATGGAATATTACGACTCATTGTCGTCTCTATCGGGACTGGATTCAGTACCACCAGTTGTTCTGCAAATCTACTTTGACGGGTTCGACAGGTTCATGTGCGACTTCTCTCACTTCAGGGAAGATAAATACAAGCTATTGGATAAAGATCATTACATGGTTCAGTTTCCAAATGAAGTCGAACCTATAATGAAAAAACAAGAAATCGCTTCACATTAACAGTTTTCGATTTTGTACAAGTACCTATATATACACATACATACATACATATATATGTATGTATGTATTTGTGATGCAAATCATGTGAATTTTAACTAATTAATTTATAGTTTTGTATTACCTTTTTAACCCAATTTGTATTTAATTTGTATGAGATATTTTTGTATTTATATTTAATTATTGATGTTGAAGTTAGTTTTTTTTACAAATAAAACTACGTTGTTTTAAATACTATGTCGCCGATTATTACTTATGAGTGTGTTATAACCCGTATTATCTCTTCATCGGGCAATGGACGTTTAAAAAACAATACGATTTAAAAATATTACGGACCTGTTACAGCCTGTTATAGAAATAAAAACGTTTGGTACAAAAAATGCCAATGTTCCCAAAGTTTGAAATTGTTTGAAATACTTCTCCTTTCATAATACTCAAATAGTACCTGTAGTTTTTGTATTACTATAATTAAGATTATCAATGTAATAATTGTACTTATAATATATATATATATATATGGTACTTAAAACTTTATAACTGCGAAAGAATCATAAGTTATTATAGTAAAAAGCTCTATTTTTATAATAGGGCCTACAGCGTGTACGATTAATTGTAAAAATATAACAGGTACTTAAAATATTAATAGCCGGTAAAATTATTATTATTGATAATTTTAATGTGTATATAGTGTCTACGGTGTACTACACATACTTATGTATTAATATTTTAACGAATACATTGTACTTCAAAATACTTACAAATACTACTATATTTATAGTTTGTACCGTTACTATAGTACTACTACTATATTTACAAAAATTATAAATTCGCGAGACATGTAGACTTCTACGTAGAAAATTATTTACACATGAATCATGCACGTGAAAATATTTTCAGATTTAATTAGAAAAATCATCAGTTAAAAGTTTACCAAGGTCACGGTAACATAATTAAATCGAGGCATCAGCAGAGTCATTCATAACGTATTTTTTGTAAGAATTCAATTGTTTTATTTTTGTATTTTGGACTGCCAATTCTGTAAATTTACTAATAAGATGAAAAATATGGATGACGTAATGTTTTAAGCGATTGGTAATTACACAACCGACATTTTGATTTTTCCATTCATCGTGTTTCACACTGACCGAAGATTGATACATCATTACATACATCTTAAGTTTTAATAGTTCTTAAGTCGTATTGTTATAGTTTATAATATAGGAACCATGGCATATTATTCAATAAAATACATTTTGTAGTACAATGTTTTCATTTTTTTATTCACAGATGATCATAAGTTTATTATTTCAGACATCTTAGGAGTCATAACATACTTAGGTAATTACCTTTTTACTTCAATAGCTCTGAACGCATCTTTCTGGCATGTATGCCCTAAATTTTATCTAATTCAATAATAATTGTAATTAAAATTTATGATTGAATATACTTTTAAAGCCAATATTAAAATAACTTTAAGTATAAAGTAACTTAACTATTTATTGAGTGTTTGAATTTAAATTAAATTTATTAGACGTATTATAAATTGCCTATACTTATGTATCTAATACGTGATAACTTTAACCATAGAATATTCTAGATGTAATTATGAAAAGTCAATTTATAAATGTATGGTAAATAAATGTATTTGAATAATATAATGTTCATATCATGTCCATACACGTGGTTACAAAACTTATCTGAATGTTTGTAATAGACGATTAACAAGATTGTTTTTGTTTAACTTATTTTTTCGTAGTGTTTGAAAGCATGTTCATAATTTAAAATGAAATGCTGCCTACCACGTGATAAACAAATGAATCTCAAGATGAGTAATTAAAGAACATGTCTATCACACATCATATTAAAAACGATAACGTTTGCTATGAAACGCATTCAAATCCGCAATAGTAGCGATATTTAAAAAATATTACCTAATTGATGCGTTTTTTTTCAATTTTTCTATCCGATTCACTGGAACTGTATTGGTAAATATGTAAATCCGAAAATTTTATTAGGTACTTGTCGATTAAATGGATTTATAAATAGTGAATAACATGTGAAATGGCAGAAGCATGTCTTTATCATTTTTATTTTTTTAACCGATCCTAATATTTTTCGTAGAGAGTAGAGGTACTTTGGACTTACACTTATTAAACGTATGCGTAACGTATAACGTTTAATAACTTATTAGAAATCTCGTACAGGTGATAATCGTTTTTTTTTTTTTTTTTTAAGTGATCTCGTTAATAACACGATCAATTTTTTAATAGAAATAGGTAATTCGTGGACCCTTAAATCTGAATGTTGAACTTAAGCGTGGATCAAACACTTTATAAGAACAAATTAGCAGTAATCTAGATATTTAAGTTTGTTATTTACAAGTTATTTATGGATAGCATAAGAAATATTAATATATTTGTTCAGGTGTATGATCGCTTAGCGGTGAATGTTAACGGTTATCAGTGTATGTCAACCTTTATCACTCATTTTGGTGAATGTTGTCCATTCTAATAAATACCTAAATTTATGGATCTTTACTGGTAATTGTTTAAATGCCTATTAGTTATTTGGTGAATGTTGACATGAATAAAAATCATGAAATTACAATTATTTTACAATTAACAATTAATAAAAGATACAATATAATTATAATTTATTGCAATACGATAAGACATCGTGGTATATAATATTACAAAGTATATCCTCATCCTTACGACTACAATTTTTTATGTTAAATTTTTTTGTTAATATTTTTGCTCGGATTAGCACGGAACATATAAACTTAAAAATAGTATAACAACTTCATACGTTATATTTTTGAACTTGTTCAATAATTCGTTCAACATTTCAGTTCGCCCTTCATGACCAGTTTTTATATGAACTTTTCACTTGATTTCAAATATATGCTCATTTTTTACATAATAAATAATTTTAGTTTCATCTACCTTTAATGGAACTTTTAAACAATTTAATTATTTTCAATATTACTTTCCTGTAAGTTGTCTTAAATAATTCGTGCTACATACTCGTAGTAACGTTTTTAATATTATAATAAGAGTAAAAGCTTTATATTAATGATTAAAAAATTGTACTACAAACATAATTATTAGTATTGTCATTATAAACTGTATATTTAAAAACAAAGCAATTAAATTAAATTAAATAAATTATTTAATATCTGATTAACCATTGTAAAAAAATTATTTCTAATTAATAAAATATGATTTTGGATATATCTTTATATTCGTATATTTATGATTTAAAATTAATAAATCTGATTATAATAAGTTATAAGTGGCTAATTGTAGTATAGTCGATACGCCAAAAAAATGTTATAGGAAATTACATAACAATAATAAATAATAATTATAATCGTAGTTGTATAGCAATCTTTAAAATGTTTCGATAGGTATTAAAATTGATTAATATTATACTTCAACGTTAGTACTAAGTGACTTGACCATCAAATTTTTTCTTATAATTAATCATTCCATTGTACAGGTTTCGTTAATCATATTAATTTTCCATTTTCAGAGTAATATGGTCAAAAGGAGTAGTGGTGGCATTTGGCTTCATGACTAAAATTGAGTGGATATTGGTAGTGTTGTGCGACAGAAAAGTTTAACACATAATTTGTACATTTGATATAAAATATTATTATATATTATTTTATTTAAACCTGTTAATTTTAATATTTATGGGTTAAATTACTTGTGATGGGTACTTCATACACGTAATCGCTTCATTGGAAAATAAACACCGTGCCATTACTAAAAATAAGTATTTATAATATTTGTATTTTGGACTAAAATTTTTTGGTCAATAAATTATAGAAACAAATTAAAAAAAAACATGTATGGCACTACCTCAAGAATGTTTGTAAAACATAACGTAATGCAAAAAAAAAGAATTTATTAAATTTATTCTATGAATAAAGTATAAATAAAGTGAATAAAGTATAGGTTTATATTAATCTGTTATTTTATAATTTCATTAATCATCTCATTCTATTTTCAAATATATACATAGATAAATGTATTAGTTATTTATCGCAATCGACGTAAATACGAAGAAACATTAATTTATATAATAATTATCTACGTATTAAATATATACAGTAGGGCCTCAATTAACGAGTTCGGGATATGGCATATGAGCAGTATATTACATGTAGGTTAAAGATGATAAACGATATTAATTTAATAAACAATGTGTGAACTATTTTATAAAAATATTTTTGAAAATAGTTGATATCCTCATGAACTTCTGCGAGCAAGAAAATGTTAACTTCGATGATGTCATGAATTCAAGAAAAATTATATGTGAAGTAAGAAAAAGCATTTCAAACCGCAAAAAACAAAAACTGATTACTTAAAAGTCTTGGCCTGCCTAATGTCTAATTGTCCTAGAAAATGTTAAAACATGATGATATGTTTTTATATAATATTGGATAAATAAAATAAATAATTTACTATAAAATTTTTTTATTTATCCGTATGATTCATACCTTCTATTAACCCGGATAATCGACGTCTTACTGTAATAATATAAAATGCCATGGTAAGTATTGATCAATCATTTCATGACGCAATTTAGTTGCATTTTCAAGATATTATTTTATCAAAAGAATTGCGATCCTAAAAAACAAGTCAAATCAAGTATAGTACTTATTAGTATTATTAATATTATCTATCTAATCAGGTATTTTGACTTCTAGTACCAACGTCGCTAGGCTATGGTTGAGTATTCCTTAAATTAAAAGTAAATAATTTATAAATAATCTAGCTATCGGTTTTTTTTTTATTTTAGCAATTCTTTTGCAAATTTACTACTTGTATATTAACACGTTAACGTTATAGCGTGTTATATGTAGTAAATATTTCGGGGAGATTGGACCTTGCACTTTATGCTTTTTAATTTTATAAGCGATAACAATAAATTAATCTAGTATACGTCATTGTTTACGTTTTGTTACCAATATCTGGTGCACAAACAAATTGATAAAAATAATTATTTACAAAATTGAATGTTTGCCAACAAAACGTTTGACTTTGAATGACACCGATGTTTGGTAAATTAAAAAATGCTGATAAACACAAAGGTCTTAGGATTTGCTATAAGGAATACACACGTCAGAGTTTTGACCACAACTCTTCTCCGAATTTATTACAACAGTCATATGCATCAATTACATTACTACCATTTTCATGATCAAGGTAATGTCAAGGTAAAATATTTTTTTTATATATTTTATCATAAAATATAAATTCAATGCGAAACTTGTTTAAGTATTATACTATTAATGAATTAATAAATTTCTTGTTATTATTTTCTATGATTATCTAAAGAGTCAGTTAGAGCCTGTTCAAATTCAAGATTAACGATAAATATACAAATACTATATTTAATTGATAAAGGGAACATTAATAGAGAAGCATAATTTATATTTATATGGTACCTAATGCTGAAGCAACTGCGTTTATTTTTTTTAATAAATAACTTAAATGCATTATTACATTTCAATTATATAGAATATCTACTATGTAGCTATGAAACACATTAGGATTAGAACCAACTTGAGAAAGTGTAAAACCGTTTCGCACTCCATAGAGTAAGGTGTGAGTGGACTTAATCTTTAATATAAACTATTTAATACGAGTACATTCAACTGTAATTATCAATTCACTATTCTTACATCTATACACAAGGCCGGATTGAGCACCTATTTGGCCCTAAAATTTATATGGGCCTTTTTGACAAAACATACTTTACAAAGCTGCTTGCTACGCTCGCAGAACGATACATTTTTTTAGTTATTTCACAAATTGTCAATTACATTATAAAATTATAAAATTAATAGGAATATACAATTTATGTCTATAAAACTACTAATTTTAGTGTGATAAAAAATGTGTATCGGTTTAAAACTGTTTGGGCCCCTTTCACTTGGGTACTCGAGAGGGCCCCGGGGCTACCGCCCCGGCTATACCCCCCTTAATCTGGCCTTGTCTTTACAACTACACATAGGTAATAATTATTGACTGCTTTTACTATTACTTTTAATATAGACTCTAAGAATAACACTTATTCAATTATAGCATAGAATTATTCATTCACAATTTTTGCATAGGTACATCAAAATATATTTATTTATTTTTATTAATCATGTGCTTTACTGATATCAAATTAATTTGAATTTTTACGATTTAGAGTTTTCAATAATATTCAGCAATGGCCTAAGATAATGCACGAAAATTACATGAAAATTTAATTGAAATGTATTCTCGATTGAAATTTATTTGGTTTTACCACTATTTTTTTAGCCTAAAGCTTTCTAATATGATTATTGACTATTAGGAGAATATTAAATTATAGATCGAGTGATAAAAATTTATATAATGATTTTCATTTATTCCTCACTAAATCACAACAATGTTACCAGTAGGTTTATATATTATACATTGATGTAATTGTTTCCACCGCTCTCTCCTAGACCATTGTAGTGTAACTCGAGATGTTCGTACTTGTTTTTAAATATTTGCTAATTTTACATCAAACGAACATATCTGTAAAAATAAATATGTTATTTTCAGATAAAGTTCTACATTTCCAAAAAATGTAAAATGTTTAAGATAGATTTTATCGCCATCAATTAAGCAAACAATTTTCTTTTGTTTATAAACGAAGCTCGTTTCAGTAATGGAAAATGAAAGTTAATAATTCATAAATAATATACTATCAATCATTTATGAGTCATTATATATTTTTAACATATCTCATAGTTTAGTTTCATAATGTGAATGATGTGAAAGAAGAAATTTTTTTATTTCGATAACATCAAATGATTAGAGAGTTTAAAAAATGTGTATGACAATGAATCTTTTTTATCATTGTAATAATATAATAGTAATAATATAATCATAATAGATTCTGAATGAGAATATTTAACATTATTAAATTACAATCGATGAATTTGATCAGGCCGGCGTTAATGGTGGGTGTGGAGGGGTGTGATACTCCCACTTGTTATTTTTATGTAAAATTATTTGTACACGAAGTTGGCAAATTTAATAATTAAAATAAAAAGTAGAGAAAGTACTAAGTTATTGATTCTTGATATATGAATAATTTTTAAAAAAAATTGTGAATTTTAAATATTATTATGGTTATGACTTTTCGAGTCATTGCTACGAACTATACTATAGTATAATTTACAAGACTATAGTCACTATAGTCTTGTAAATTATATTTTGTTCATATTATCATATTTTGAGGCACCCTGAAACTACAACAGCACAACCAATTTAATTTATAATCATCAATCATATTACGGATATAAATAGATTATTAATGGCATTGGTTGTATTTTCCTATTTTAGAATTTTATACACCACACGTTAGTGTTTAGTTATCGGTGATACTAATCAGTTTATTGAGTGTATTCTACTTAATACTATTTTTGTTATTTTGTTATTGCTAGTAAATAGTAATATATTATTTTTATAAAAATGAATCCAAGTAAAAAGAGGAAAAGGACAAAACTCGAATGCTTAACTTTTGGTAGCACATTCGACCACGATTATAAAAGAAAACGTGAAATAAATGTACACGGTGGTAACAGAATAAACGTGAAACATTTTGGCGCTCCCGACAATCCGTTTGTAGTAGCATCTGCAGTGTTTAAAAAAAGTGTACAGTCCGAGGTACAGCCACCACCAAATATTGAGGAGGTATGACTTTTTAGCTATATAATATAAAACCTTCAGATATTTAAATCAATTTATTTACCTATTAATTTTTGAATTATTATATTATTTAATATATAGGTCAAAGGCAATTTTTCTAACCTATCTTTAAAATTAGAAACTATACCTATACAACTGATATCTTCACATGTATCAAATACTATAAGTGAATTACATTTTTTAAACTATGAATTTTTACAAAAATTAATATTATATTATTTAAAAAAAATATTAAATATTGATGGATAATCAAGACATTGAACTAATTGAACTAGGAAAATGCATGGAATCTAGTATCGAATAACCAGAAAAAGGTATCTATGTTGAAAGTTTCAACTTAAAACATAATTTATAAATTAATTATTATGAAATTATTATACTTATATGTTTTATACCAGGTAATGTTATAGATCAGGGTTGGCAAACCTTTTGAACAATGCATGCCCAAAATTACCTTTTTTTTTTTTATATATATATATAAAGCGTTCCATGAAAAAAATATTAAAAATATTATATTTTGTTATATTATAATTTGATTGTATAATTAATGTATTAGTATAAAAAGGTTAGTTTAGGTACATAATAATAATAACTATAATAATATTGCTTTGTAAATTATTTATATATTATAGGTCCTATAATATTATATAATTTATATAATATATAATAGTAAAAATTTTCGCGTGCCATGGATTTGCCAACCCTGTTATAGATGAACTAGATTATATTTAAAAGTATGAAGAAAATGGTAAAATAATTGAATCTGAAGTCTGCCAACAAGGTAAGTTATATAATTTTTATTTTCATTGTTGATAATATTATAAGTAACTGTAAATATAAATTTAGATTGATAAGTTATTGTTAATAAAATAATAAATAGATTTTAAGTGTCATGATACCTAAACATTCAAATTTAAAACCATTTGTATAGATACTTTATTTTGATTCTATACAATTTTGCAAAATGTACTATTACATTATATCATATTAAACTAAAATCTATTCCTTAATTGGTATAAAACCTGTGTAATCAGGGATTATATTTGTATTAAATATGAAATTTTGTTATATTTATAGATATTTATTATTTATATTTATGTATTATATTTCAACAGCTATTGAATTTATTAATAATACTAGTAATTATGATTGGATGGCATATGCTGGTATGCTTGAATTGCTATTTAACCATTTTCAAGAATGTAGTAGACTTTTAACAAAAATTAAAAATGAATCTTCACCAAAACCTATATCATTTTTAGTTGACACCTCGCATATCATAACTCCTATTAAAATTGAAACAATATTTATTAACAACTGAAATAGTTTTAAGCTCTTTAATAGCTAATGGAATTGCCGAGTTTGGAAATATTTTGTATATTTTTCCAGAATATATTTCCAGAACATGACCTTGGAAAGAGAGAAATAGTAAAATCATCAGCTCAGAGAAAATATTTCTTGAGTTTTGGGCTCTATCAACCTAAATTAGCTAAATATCCAAAAAACTTAGATATTTCTACAGAAAAACAAAGCCAATTTATCTCATTATGGTTCAATGAATTTCCTCACTTAGTATAAGTAATAAATATATAAATAGTATATATTAGTATATATAGTATGTCGCATTTTGTTTTATTTGTTCTCTATTTCCGAATGGCCGTAACAGAAGTTTTGCCAATCCAGCATGGGTTGTAGTTAGTGTTCGAAGTCAGTGGCGTAGCAAGGATTTTTAAATGGGGGGGGGGGCTAACCACTTTTTTTGAATAAGTAAGGTGAGAGAGGATATGAGAATTCACCCTTGACCCCCCCACCATCTACCACCAAGTTTCTAAACGTAATTCAAGCATTTTAGTATAGTTTTAAAAATATTTATTAATATATAATTTATAATAATAATAATAATTTTGGTTTCAGTGTTCAGTCACTTGCTCCACTTTGACAGCTGCATTCTCTTGGCGAATTTCTGACAAATTCAGTTATTATTTCACTTTCATCGAATTGCTCTTTTTTATTTATATTAGCTATAGTTAACCCATTCGATCGGTTTTCCGACATGGTGCTTTTTAAAAAAATTTTTAAGCGATTAAGTGCTGAAAACGTTCTTTCCGGAGTGAAAGAGTTAACTGGTAACGTGGCGAATAATTGTAAAATTATTTTAATGTTAGGTCGAAAATTGGTGCGATGAGAGAGTGAATCAAGAGCAGAATTTGGTTTTGGAATAGTATTTTGACTCCATTGTTGCCCCCATATGAACAGGTCAGCTCTGATTGTAGATGAGGTATCATCATGGAGATCTTGGACATATATTTTAGCAGCTTTTATAATATTTTTATCGTCATACATATTTAAATTGGCCGGAATAAGTCCTTCAAGTGGCATAACATCAATAAGCCTTTGATTAAAACGAGCATTGATTTTATTAAATAGTCATGATACATTATACATATAAACACGGCCCATGGGGGAGGCTATAGCCCCCTTATCCCCCATTTCCTACGCCACTGTTCAAAGTTGGCATTAAATGAAGAGGAGAGGAAAAAAACAAGAAAAACTTGCTTTACATTTTTCTTTTAAATCACACAACTCTGCATTGATTGATTTTAGAAATTTTTTGACTTCCTCGATCCGTATTGACTGTATTCTTAACAAGGTAAACAGACAACATGCAATTGTAATAGAATATAAAATACATTTTCATAAAGACATTATTACTATTATTGTTAGATATTACCCGTACCCTTGCACGTCAAGGAATTTCATTCCGTGGTGATAAGAATCAGGAAAACGGAAATTTTAATCGATTAGTTTTGTTAATATCTAGACATAACCCAACTATGAAAAGATGGATTGATGATATAAAATTTAGAAAACATAATGTTACTTATCTTAGCCATGATTCCAAAAATTAATTTATCGACTTACTAGCAGATGAAACAAAGAACACGATTATTGAAGAAGTTAAAAAAATCTGACTTTTTTTCCGTGATGGCTGATACAACACCCGATGTTTCACATCAAGATCAATTGTCAATTTGTTTATCATACGTAGACCCTTTTGAAGAAATCTCTGAAAGATTAGTAGCAGTGTGTGAAGCTTTTGATAAAACTGGGCTAGGAATCGCTGAGAATATTAAAGAAATAATACAAAAAAGTAGTTTACCATGCGAAAATATTGCTTTTCAGTCTTATGACTGCCAGTAGCATGTCTAGTAAGATTAAGGAAACCCAGCAGAAACTATCTGATCTGGTTGTTGATCATATAATTTATTTTATTCCTTGTCAGGCAAATCGAGTTAATACTTTCTTGGAACACAGTTGTGATGTAAGTGCCGTGGTTGGGGATTTATTTTCACATCTTGAGCAATTTTATGTTTTTTTTTTCATTGAGTACAAAAAGATACGCCCACTTGTACAACAAATTAACCGAGATAGAAAATTCCTTATGTTTACAGAATCTTTTAAAAACAATGTGGATTTCGAGCAGAGTCGATAAAAGCTGTATGGGTATCGTATGAGATAATTTTAGAAGTATTTCAAGTTATGTTTTCTGCGCAGAAACTGAATAAAAATACAAGAACACAAGCTTTTGGACTTTCTAAAACAATGTTATCATTTTATTTTATTATTGCTTTGTATTTTATGAAGAATATTATGTATAAAATGAAAGTATTAACAGAGAAACTTGAAGCAATAGAACTAAATGTAATTGATGCATTAATGTTATTAAATAATATTAATGACATTTTAAAAGAAATTAATAATGACGATGTAGGTATGGATAACCTTGTAGAAAATTCAATACAATTTGCTTATAAATTAGGGATTGATCCCAATTACGATTTTAATCGACTTCATAGAAGACGATTAAAACTGAATAGATTGGATTTCCGCGCACGGGGGTGGCCGGGTGGGCCGCGGCCTCCCCTGCAGATTCTTGCTTTTTCTTTGAAAAATTTATATCTATACTATACAAAATAGCGAACATTTTTACATTTTACATGAATAAAGTAAAGCCAGTTTTAATCTTATAGTATAGAATTGATATTTGTGAATAAATGTAATAAAGTTATTAATTATTAATCAGACTAATCAGAAATTGCATATAATATAAAAATTGAAGATATAATTGATACATTCAAAATGATGATACATTCTCCCGTGTACAGAAGGATGGAGTTATAAATGGTATAATAATATGTATATAAAGATTTCTCAGAGATAAATTGTGTAAGTTTAAATAGTATTTATTTTTATACTTGCATATTGAATTAAATAAATAATTTATAAAATTTAAAATATTTAATTATACTAGTAGTCTTTAGTACAAGAATCTTTGGTTCACTTTTTTTAAGGCCCCCCCCCCCTTTGGACAAAGTCTGCGCACGCCTATAGAACGGGCATTTAGTAAATTAAAAGTGGTGAAAAATTATTTAAGATCTACTACGTCAGCTGATCGTCTACAAAATTTAATGTTGCTGAACTCCAACAAAGATATTTTGGATAGTGTTAATATGACAATGCTGATCGATAAATGGTCACTTTTGAAAGAAAGAAGAATAATTATGTTAAAACTAAATACCTAATAATAGTATTTTAATCTATATGTAACTTAATATGTTTTATATTTTGAATGCAATAAATACACGAGTACTATATGACAATTTTAACTAATTTTAATTTTTTTTTTCTGAAGTCAGCAAATTTACCCCCCCCACCACTTATCATTCATTCGCGCCGGCCCTGAATTTGATATATTTTATCATTTGAAAATATAAAACCTTATCGCAAGTCTAACAAGTGTTCATGAACTGAATCAGTGAAACTAATCGTATGTAAACTATAATCAATAAAATATGTTACACAATTAAAACTATGTAATACAAGACGAACCAAACGGTTGGTAATTATTTAAATATTATATATATGTTCTGCGTAAAAAATACTAAAACTTAACGTGTTACACTTTAATGTTAGGAACTGGAAAACTATGAAAACATTATGAAAACTATTGCTTACGTATTACAAGTTACAAATTAATGTGTAACTCAGTTATGTAACATTAGAACACAACAATATATGTCACTAATTGCACGTTTCCTTATTATCTGCGTTTTTAATCCGGTTAACTTTTTTTGTTATAAAAAATATTAGCAACAAGGTCGTAATTTATTCTACATCGTATCAAGTAAACAGTGGCGTATTTTTTGAAAAAAATGTTTAGGGGCTTAATATTTTACTAAAAAATAAGTGATTTTATATTGTTATAAGTATATATATGAAGTATGAATTAATAATTATACTATTTTACAAATATTTGTACATAAATATTACAACCATATGATATAAATTAATTTTATCTTTCTTTGTACCTTTGTATTTACTCATTTATATCTTTTTTTTCTTCTGGGAGAGGGATCGAAACTCAAGACTCCATCCTCGAAAAATACGCCCTTGCAAGTAATAATATATTTTGTAACTTGTTCTTTCAATAAATAAAATAGACAATGGGTACATAAACATGATAACTACAGGTAAACACCATGGATGCCTATTAGAAAAAGAGGGCTTACCCCACCGGAAAAATAATATAATATAGCCAGTGGCGTATTTAGGGGGGGGGCCAAGGGGGGCAATTGCCCCGGGCAGCACTTTTTTGGGGGCATCACATTTAACTGAGAACTTTTTTTTTTTAAATAGATGTAAAAATAATGATACAAATGTTTGTTATTTTTTTTCTATAGGGAAATCATTATCAACAAAACGTGTTATTTATATCAACACGACAACACTATTAAACAGCCATTTTGTGAAATTAATCTTCACATTTCATAATAAACGCGCGTGAATTAATTTATTGTTTGTCGTCGGCTTATCAGCTGTTCAAAAACACTGTACTACCACCATAGAACATACTAACATTTTCATGATATTGCGGGCCATGATGTTAGTAACGTGTTAATTACTGCTGTGACGACTGACGGCGTGATAGTGATAGTATGCTATTGAATTTTTTAATTTTCTTCAGAATATTTATTCCTTTTTTTCCGCATCTACCTATCGTTGGGACGTGTTGGATCAATGCTTATCCAAACCTGATAATGTAACTGTTAAAAGATTATCTGATATCCGATGGGCGGCTAGATATGAGGCTTGTTTAAGTTTATCACGTAATTGGAATGAAATTTTAAAGGCTTTAAATATTTTCATTAACAATCCAACTGAAAATTTTAAAACTAAATGTGAGTGTAAAGGACTGTTGAAAAAGATGAAAAGCTTAGAAATGGGTATTCTGGTATCAGTATGGAATGATATTTTAGAGAGGTTCAATATTATAAGTAAGAAACTGCAGAATATTCATATTGATTTGAATATTGTAATAACCCTATATAAATCATTGATAAATTATATAATGGATTTAAGAAACAGCTTTTCACATTATGAAAAACTTGGCATAGAAAAAACTGGAACTATAGAATATAAAGTTTCCCGTACAAAAAAAAGAAAAATGCCTTTTGATGAATCTTCTCAAGGTGATACAACATTCGTAGGTAAAAAATCATTTGAAATAAATACTTTTTTTATTATAATAGATTCTTTACTTACAGAGTTGAGAAAGCGTTTAAACTCTTATGAAAAAATTAATATTTCATTTGGATTTTTGTTTAACATTACTGAGTTGTCAGTATTAGAAGTAAGACAAAAAGCTGAAGAGTTACAAAAACAATATCCTCAAGATCTGGATATATCGTTTATGAATGAATGTATTCATTTTCGTAGTTACTTAAAAGGCTTACCAGAAAGCGTGTCCACAAAATCGGTGCTTTATTTATGTAAAGTCATGAAAGATGATAATTTACAAGATGTTTACCCATATGTTAATATTGCATTGCGAATGTTTTTGTGTGTTCCTGCATCAAATACTTTAGCAGAGCGTTCATTTAGTACTCTTAAAAGAGTTAAAACATACCTTAGATCTTCCGTGAATGATAATCGTTTAAACTCTTTGGCGATTCTAAATATTGAATCACAGTTGACAAATTCATTAAACTATGATGAAATAATTGAAGATTTTGCAAGATCAAATGCGCGACGAAAAAAAATTAATTGAATGATATTTTTAACATATTATGAAAATAAATTAAAATAATAAAATAAATTAATACATTTTACAATTGGCTTTAATTTTTTTGTTATCATGGGTACTACTAAGAAAACCTACGATATTCAACATTCTAGGACACTCGATAGATTTTTATACTGCATGATACTATTATTAGCATATCACATGTATTGAAGTTTTTTTAGGATAAGAAAAATTGCTACAACAAAAAAAAATGGTGAGAGGAAAAGGGCATTAAAAAAATGTGCACCCGGGGCAGCAAAATCCTAAATACGCCACTGAATATAGCTATAATTAATAATAAATAAATAATAAATATCATTATTGTTATTGATATCATAATGTTAAGTAATTAAAAAAATACACGAATTTGAAACTTTACCTATCATTTTACGATGCCATTAACTGACCTTCATTCAGTGCTCGACTTGAGGGGAGACGGAGTACCCCTTCTAATTTTTAGAAATGTTAGCGTCCCTCTATTATTAATACGTTATAATTATAAGGCTTAACAAGTTTTGGGGACGCAATTTTTTTGTAAGCAAACAGAGTCCCCCTTCTATAATTTTGCCAAATCAAGCACTGCCTTCATTGGTTGAAGTTTGGAGAACTACATTTACCAACATTTTACAAACTTGGTGTGTAATTTTTTATCATTTTCGTATGTTATTGTTATGATTGAGGGGCCTCCGAATCAATTAGTCCCAGATCCTAAGAATCCTTTGGACGGCTCTGAGTACTGGAATTGGGAAATCTCTTTTCTATAACTGAGGTTACATACTACTGCTCCACTTACCTGTTTACTACTCCACTCCGTAACGTTATTGATGGCAAATAATATTATTTTGTAATATTTATAAACAATGGTGATATTGATAGTATTAGAATATAAAATAATATCGATTATGTATCAATAGTTATTGTTAATATCATAGTATTTTATCCATTTAATGTGACGTTCGTTGTTTGTTTAATTATATTCAATTAAATTTTTTCTGAAAAGTTGCTGCTCTCTTAAACATTTTGAAAATTGCCGCTGTGAAGCAACTATTTTACATCCCTCCTATTAAATGAGGCTCTGATCTGCACCCCCTCCCCAGCCCATTACAACAGACTCTTCCCCACTTATTTCGAATCGAAACCGCGGCTGCAGCAGCACGTGTGTTTCGCCGTCATCGATCATATGGTTCGCGTGTGTTGCATTGTTATCTCGACGTGGTTTTCGTTATCAATTGCGTTGTTTAATGGATTTGACATTTTGACGTTTGCGAGTCGTGTTGCAACTTGTCCGTTCGAACAACGTATAGATAGGCGTAATAATCATAATAATTATTTATTATTTTTTTCGACCGTCTGTCCGGCTGCTGATAACATTGTCTTCTACTTACCTGCTGTACCATTTCGTAGTAACATTAATTCTTGACGTTAATCTGGACCATGTCATCGTGTGTTCAAGAATCAATCAAAAAGTCCGTGGCTATTATCGGCTGCGGCGCGTCCGGCCTAGCGGCCCTGAAAAATTTCACCGCCGATGATTCGCAGTTCCAATGTGTGGCTTTCGAACAAACCGAAAGTATCGGAGGCACGTGGGTTTACACCGACGACGTTGACACAGATCAGTACGGATTACCAGTACACTCTAGTATGTACAAAACCCTGAGGTAAGCCATGCAAAGGAAACACTGCATTCAACCAAAATATTATCACAATTTATCTGTTTATCGTTAGGTCTAACTTGCCGAAAGAAATCATGGAGTTAAGTGGATTTCCTCACAAAAATGTTGGTGACGCTTGTTACTTTCCTGCTGCCTACATACTGAAATATCTTAATGACTTTACTGATTATTTTAATTTAAGACAATACATAAAGGTAAGTCAAAACATAATTACAAATAAGTAAAAATGAATTATAGTGTTGTTTAATATAAATTTTGAGTTATAGTTTCATCATCATGTAGAAAATATTAGCCCTATCAATAATGATCAGTGGGAAGTGAAAGTTATTGATTTGCAGCAAAAAAGTAAACAAATTCTCATCTTTGACGCAGTAGTAGTATGTGTTGGGTAAGTAGTATTATATGAAATATTAAATAGAATGTTATGGATAAAATCCAAAATATACTATAGCTATTAAATTATTAAAAATTAAATTTAACATTTTTTTTTTTTTATATAATGGTTGTTACAGAGTAGTGATTGAATTTAACATTAATGAATTATGGTTCAAATAATCATTTATATTTTTAACAATTTGTTTAACTATACTTATAACATTAAATAAAATTTTAAATCATACAAGTATTAAGACTCTCTTTTATATTATGTAGACAAATTATGTTTATTGTTTTTAGATGTTATTTACTGGATACATTTTTAAGCTTAAAATTATTAAGAATAAAACTTTCATTTTTTAAAAGAAATACATTTTTCTTTTTTGTATTTTTATAACTTTGACCAATATGTTTCAAATGTTTGAAAAATGTTATTTAATTAAAGATGTGTATGATTTATTTTATTAAAATATGTTATACTGTTAATATTTCAGTAACTATAGCAACCCTGCTATTCCAGATGTAAAGGGTGCTGATATATTTTGTGGAAAAATTATGCACAGTCACAGCTACAGAGATGCAGATCCATATAAAAATAGTTCAGTGTTGGTTGTAGGTTGTGGAGCATCCGGACTTGATATATCATTCGGTGTATCAAAAGTAGCAAAAAAGGTTAGGTTGATATTATAATCTATAAATAATTATTTAATGTTGTACTTAATTGTTATTCTAATGATTATTTAGGTTTTCTTAAGTCATCATAATCCTAATTTAATGAAGTTGAAAATTCCATCAAATTATTTCCATAAAACAGATATTAAAGAAATTGTTGAAGATGGTGTGGTTTTTCAAGATGGCTCATATGAACAAATAGACACAATAATATACTGCACTGGTAGGTAAAATATACATTTTTGAAATTTATAGAATTTAATTTTCGTTTAAATTTTTCTTTTTTCAGGCTATACTTATAAATATCCATTTTTAAGCAGTGAATGTGGCATACGTGTTGAGAATAATGTTATTAAATATCTTTTTAAACATATGATTAATATTGAATACCCAACAATGGGATTTATAGGTGTACCTAGAAATACCACAGGATTTTACTTATTTGATCTTCAGGTAATTTAAAATATTATATATCTGTATTCTAAATGTATTTACCCTTGAGTAATATCGTCCACTATAAATTAGGCAGATAGCCAATATATGTATTTATTTGGAAAGCAAAAGTAGAATGTATTACACATGGTATTTTTTATCATGTCTTTAATATAAAAATAATTTATGTGATCCATTAAAATACAAACTGTAATATATTTTGCTATATATTAGTAGACTATCTCTTTATATATATAACTTTTTTTTTATTCAGTTGTAATATTTAAATATTCTTAAACCTTATCATTCTTATAATATTTATTATAATTTTATAACTTTCAGTCAAGAATTTTCAAAAAAATTCTGGAAGGTGGTGTAAAATTGCCTTGTAAGAAAGAAATGATGGAGGATACCCAAAAAGAAATCAATGAACGTCTGGCTAGTGGTCAGAGATTGAAGGACCTTCACGCATTAGGTAGAACTAAATGGGCAATGAACTATTATACTTCAGTTACAAAATTTGCCGATGTCGAACATCCACCACCAGTGTTATTACAAATATATTTTGATGGTCTTGGAAGACTTTCAGAAGATTTTCTGAATTTTAGAGGTGACAAATATAAAATCGTTGATAGAGAACATTATCAGGTACAATACTATGACAAAAATGAACCTATAATCAAAAAACAAATTTTATATTCTTTTTAAAATCATTGGGTATGAAATTATGTTTTACTAATTATTTGTTTTAAAATTTATAGTTTATATCTATTTTATTATTGTTAATTTTACTTATTTATTGTATGTTTTACCATAAAAAATGTATATTTTTATAACTTCTTTAGTTTTTTGCAATTTAATTTATTTGTTTGAAATACATTGTTTTTATTTTAACGTCAATGTATAAATACTTACCATTAGCCATATATGTTTGTTTCAATGTGATATAATATATATTATTGATGATACATTGTTGTACGAGTATAATTCAATAATTGTTTCTTAAGGACAGCAATGTAATTTATTGAGTATAAATTAATTAAAGTTTATTTTATTATATATTAATTATATAATGTGTATTGTTTTGTTATTTAAATTTCGTTATATGATTTAACTTTAGTTGAGTGTTAGTATATGAAAAAAAATTATCATTTTAGAAATCAAATGTGTAACATGTTTGATTCAGTTACAGTTTTTCAATAATTGAATTTTTATTTTTATTTGTTTAATTATTAAGTTAAGTAAACTATAAATTCTATAGAATAGAGTTTCTCAATCTGCTTGTGTACCTATACATTTAAAGGGATCTTTTTTTTTTGTTTTTTTAATTTAAAAATACCATTTATTGCTTGAATTATGGTTAGAGATTAATATTAATAATTATTTTAAGTATTTTTATTTATTACAATTCACTTTTCACTTTCGATCAATGTTTGTATAATAGTCACAATGCACTTAATATCAATAATGTCATAAATGTTTCATATTATCAGTCATCCAGCAAATTAAGTGTACAAACTATCATCGAAACTTACAGTAATTCATATAACATATAGTAGTTCAGTCGAAATGCTCTTATTAAATCATTGTTGTAAATTTTTATTTACAACATGTCAATGCAGGGGCAGATTAAGGCACTACAAGCTATGAGGCCACAATGCATAAGGTGGAAAAATGTTGTTGAATATTGGTTTTGTTTTTATGTAATAAAATTACATATTTTTAAAATTTATTTGACCATTACAAATTTTGAATGGCATATGAGGAATATGTATTCCTTTATTTTTAGCAAAGTTATATTAATTTTTTCTACAATTCTATACATATATACTGGAGTCTAGGAGAATGTTCGCTTTATAAAAACTGTTTGATACGGCGTTATTGGTACAAGTTTAGAGTTAAGGCTTTGAATATATCTTCAATTGAATCGCTCATAAGTTGGACACACACGGTAAAACCAAAACAGTTCAACCCACTATTAAAATAGTAGATTTAACAGTATTTTATAATTGCTATAGGGATAGCTATAATGTTAGTGATATTTATTATGATGTTCAAGTTAATTTATTATAGTCATTGTTACAAGAAAATAAAGTAATTTTCACTAAAATTTTATAGTTCACTGTATATTTTAATTTAGTTGTTCTAACAGTATTTATAGTAGTACACATTGGACTTTATAATAGTTAGAACTGGAAAGCTTAGTTCATATCACTGCAGCAGTAATTTAATTTACTATAATTAACAGTTTAATGAGCCATAAGTCGTAATAACCACTACTATAAAATTAAGTATTCGTAATCAAGTTTTATATTTAATTATTTTATATATTTAGCAGTACCTACTGTCATGTATAGTATTTTTTACTATAAAATTACAATATTATCATTCAAATTGTACCTATTATAATTGCTTTTTTTTTGGCTAGTACATGCTTTTACTTATAAAATTTAAAAGAACGTTGTTAAATACGGTATCCAAATATAATTTTGTTTATGTAAAAAAAATATTATTTTTTTTTATTTTCAATTGTGTAACAGATTTACTGGTTATTTGGCGACTAATTAAAATAACAACATACTTAAGATTTTGTATATAGATATATCCCAAAAACAAATAACAATAGGACTTATATACTTTTTTAAATAAGAATTAACCATGGGCGGCGGACACAAATCTGGTCGAACCCATGCATGTTATTCAACAAATTTAATACTAATTAATTGCAAGTGGTGGCGTATTTAATTGTTCCAAGTCTTATCTTGATGTCTTACCATGTGTGACGCGGTGCGTTCTCATTTGAAAAATAGTATGGGTTTTTTTACAATAAATAATATAAAAAAATATAGATTTAAAATAATTAGGACAGCTCTGTTATTACAAGCTTATTAGCTTTATAATTAATAAACTAAAAGAGTGTGTAGTAAATCGATATTTATTTAAATAATTTGAACAAAACTCGAAAATAACTGTATACATTAATAATCTACTGCATATTTAGTATATAGTATAAAAAACTTACCGTTTTGACTTGAATCCGTAGAAACTTAAAGACCCGTCGTGCGTCGAACTTTCTTGTAGGAGTGTTGTAAAATATGATTAATAAACGACTGACAAAAGGGTAATGGTGACCACCATCCATTAACTCATAATACGTTTTGTAAAAAATAAAATTCTTAAGAATTTTTATTTCATGCCGCGTTTTTTGCCCCTTGCCTTATTTTACCTTTGTGTTAGCAACTCGCGCGTGTTCAGTTTTCGCTGAATTACATTTCGACAGTTACGATTTACTATATTTTATAGTGATTTGATATATTGCTATAGTATTCAATTATCTGTGCTATAAAATATAATTGATTAAATCATATAAAAAAAATGAACTATAAAATATAGTAAATATTCACTATTGAAACCAACTATTTTGATATAGTCTTAATAACCATACTGTTTTAGTCATTCCACCTATAAAATTTTAGTAATTTTTTTCCGTGCAGAGTGGCGCGTTGTGTATTATTATTTTTATTATTATAACGATTATTTGACAAGTAAATTTTACAAATTATCCGTTTACAATTGTATTGAATTAGTTGATAGTCATCCTTCCTAACCGATAAGTACACGCACGCGTAAATCATTTAAATTGACGACAGTATTGTTTACACGTAAATTTATTTACGGATATTTTATTATGTATAAGTTATATTTTTCTGGATAGAAACGGAAAATCGTTAAATCCCGTCCCTGTGTCAATGGTTTTGTAAAAGACGTATTTACGTTTTTACGATGTGCCGAGCCTGTAACAGTTGAACTAGACTGACACGAGTTGCTCCACTCTCAATGATGTCACTGAATGTCTGATCTGTAACACTGTATACCTACTTCGGAGGTGCCTGCTTCATCTATCCATACATAGTGCATAATCAACTTGGGCTAGGTATGTTTATTGCGGTACGACATTATAATTTATCGCGAAACACAGCATACGAAAACGGTAATAATTATTGAACGTCAATAGTTATTACATCGATACAGTATCGTACAATACGGTTAATTCGTTTCGGACAATTGTGTTGCATACTGTGCGCGCTGCGATTCGCGATTTGATCGCACGTTGACCGCAGTGTTTGTTCGTCCCGTCGATCGTGCGCGCAGGGCGTCCGCGACGGCGAGTCGTTCAGCGGAACACATTTCCCGCGGCCACCATGGAAGTGAGCAACGCGGCCGTCGCGGAACCGGCGCCGCTGGTGGTGTACGCCTCGAGAAACGTTTTGGTCACGCCGCCCGGCAAGTCCAAGTACACCCGGTCCGCGCCCACGGTTCTCACCAGTCCGACCAGTTTCGCGTCGTCGATCACGTCCCTCGGGTCGCTGCACCACGCGGTCAACGTGGACCCGGCCGGCGATGTCTCCAACAGGTATTGGAGCTCGGGTATCGAGTTCACCGCGAACGACGCGCGCACCGCGTACGTCACGGGCTTCAGGTACTTGCTTTTGAACAGCAAGTCGGCCATGTCGTTTATATAGTTCTCCGAGTACACGTCTGGAAAAGAAAACGAAATGTCCCGCGTCCAATTGCGCACGACCACCCGCGTGCTCGGTCCCGTTCATAGCGGGTTAGGTTAAAATTATCGGGGGAGGGTGGGGCCGCTGCGCTTACCGGTAACTATTTCATACGACGAACGCAGTTTTTCATTCCAAAAGAAAAACCAGCGCGTTTGCACGAAAAGTATGTAGATTTTATGTCCTAACAAAAAATGTATACATCAAATTTAACCCCTTGCGTGACTCTACCCCCGGGCAATTACTAAACATCTCTGAACGGTACCGCCCGGACTGCAATTGCGCCGGCGCGCTGTTGCGGTCGGTGGTTAGCGGTTAGTACTGTTACCGTAATCGTTGTATTGGGTGGTCCAGCCCAACGACAATATTGAATCCGGGAAGTTTTTGGACGACAACCCGAGGAAAGTATCCGCGTCTACTCCAGGACTGCCTCCCGGGCCCGGACCTGGCAAGATGTCTGCGTTCAACCAAGGCAGACGACTCGGTGGCAATCCCTGTAATGAAAACACATTAACATGTACAGTAACAATTCGGTCGACCAACACACTAGTGCCATGTTTACGCAAGTCTATATGTGACATTCGCACTGGGCCCACCGCCAACAGGTTAGTTAACAAACGTTAGTTGTATACGCCTACGTATTTATCATTGTTTAAGAGGATCAACATTATGCCTAATTAAAGAAAACGGCCTATTCGCCGCTATCCTATTTTTTTTTCATAAAACGTCAATAAAAAGATTCCGAGTGAAACGAAGAATGTATTCGTTTTATCGTGTTATGTTTTTTTATTTATTGTGTAGGTATCGTCCTAGTAAAAATTATCCTGTTAAAACTTCAGAGGTTGTCCTCTAAAGTAAATGTTGTTTACTTGGTTCATTAGAAACTGGTCACTTTTTGAATTTCTCATCAGATTTCATCAAAATACAATATTCTAACGCTTATAACATTTTTTTGCGCTGCTCCGGTTAGTTGCAACCAACTTTATTGGTTCGCTGGAAAGAGTAACATCTCTAGTAGGTACATTATATTTCATTTTCAAGTTAAAATATACATATTAAAATGTTTATCATCTTTTAACTACCAAAGATAAGCAGATTTTTGAGATTTTTCCACACGAGTAATAAGAACAATGTATGAGGAAAATTGTATCAACATTTCAAAATTTTATGGCAGATCAAAATTTTTTTATAGACGTTTTACGAAAAAAATGGATAGCTGCGAAAACGATTGCGGTGAAATGACCGAGTCTAATTACACTGGTTCTAATGTTTCAATTTAATTCAGTTTAATGTATATTAATCTTAACCCGTTTCAATTAGCAGTATGGTTTATTTTAATTTTGAAATATGCTGATTTATTATTTAAAAGTTTTTCATTGACTTGCTTTGTGGCGTCATCGATCTACTCCGTTAATAAAAAAAAAAACATCACTCTGCTTGGAGTATAAATAGGCGCACACCAGTGAATAGTGATAGGGAACAACTACAGGTCAATTATTAAACCTATATTTACAAAACTATCAAATGTAATTGAAAATTTAAATCAAAATATTCGTAAGTAAAGAGAACCTAATCGAACGTAACAAACTTACAAATTAATTATTATTATATTATTTGAATAATTCAAATAATAATTATTATTGGTTAAAAAGATGAAAAATATTATTATTTAGCAGAGAAATCATGTTTATATAGTACTTCATAGTAAATTGATAAAGTACGTCGAGCGAATAATTTTTCAAATTTCTTATTTACTATATTTTGCGTAAACATTATGTATCTAACTATATCCCATCTTGTTTATATTATTTACAGGCGCACATGTGCTTATTATTAAAATTCGATCCGATATTAAATACTAACTTTAAACGCGTTTTCCATGATTGGTATGGCCAATACAAATGCTTCAGTTGACTTGAAATCAAGTTTTAATATTTTTGTCGTTTGGTTCCATGCATCTAAGAATTCTTTGAGACTCAAGTCTGAAGTTATTGCGGGAGGATGACCCATTATCGGTATTCGGTCGGTTTTCTCTTCTCCCGATGCGGATTCGTCGACCAAATGACCGGTGATTACATCGGCTTCTATCATTTTCGATTCACCTGTAAAACAATATTACCGATAATATTAATATATTGTGCGTTAACAATGCAACAACGGACTCGTTGACTTTATAGTGTGAATCAAACCATAATTATAGACCAGTGTTTACATATATTTGACATTAGTATGTCGCAACACTTATGTATCACAGGATAAGCCTGAAATTTTAATTTTTCTAAATTATAATTATTATTTTAATTAGATTTATTTAATTAATTAATTAACATAATGGATATAATATAAAATTACTTTATTATTTCTAATTAGAATTCTAATTTTTTTTGTTTTGTATTAAAATGTTTTGCAACAGAATGTTGCAGCCAGTGCGTTTCCAGCTTAAGCGTGTCGCGAAATATATTTATTTTTACTGTTTATAAATTTTGAATTTAAGGATTCTGATTTAATAATATCTAATTAAAATAATATACTAACATACAAGTACATCTTATTGCATAAGGTTTTTGTGTTCGATTTCTATTTGTCATATTTGGTATAAAATATTTTTATGGTGTGTCGTCGTAATACATGTGTTATGGAAACACTGGTACAGGTCAAGTGCGCCAAACGTTATGTATTTGGCATTACACACACACAACTGCTGCAACTAATCGCTACACACCTTCTAAAACAGTTGTCATTTTTTAACCATCTTATGCTTACGAAAAACTGTATCTGTAAGCGTACGAAATAGATCGGTAAATAAATCGGTGTGCCTGGTATAGATTATGATGCCGATTATTGTTTTACGACGATCAAAAAACGAGGAATAATTAAACATTAAAAACTGTCGAATTATTTACAATGACGTAACAATTTATCGATCGCGTCGGGCGAAAAGTCGAAAGTCGCCATGCGGTCGGATGTAAAAACGCACGTCACGGAATGATTTACTTGCGACCGTACGGCATCAGCGTGTACACGGCCGTAAAGCATTTGCGCATCGTCTGTTTACCTGTGCCTAACTATCGTACGTCATATGCGCGTTAACATACCGAACAATAGAAAGGTGTAAAATACCATGGTATATAGACACACGTTTATTGTTTAATTATCATTTACAGATTATACAATTAATACAAATTATTCTGTGGTTAAAAACGTAAGATTTAAATAATTTATTATAAATCTGATTATTTGATGAAAAATGAATTTAAAAAAAAAATGTGTTCTTTCAATCAAGCAAATCATAGTTAAATACAAATCATATAAGATAGGATATATAATAAGATACAGTTTGAGTTAAAAATTAATTGATAGTAAACATAAATAAATACATGAATACATTAAGCGCTAAAAATATGATTACAAAGCAATACTTGGTATATTGTTATGTCACATTATTTTTACAAAATTAAACCTATTTATTTCACCGATGGTATACAAATTTTCTATTGTTAAGTAATATCGATGTGCAAACGATGTATGATCTTCTAACCGGTAAATGCGCAAACGATGTACAACGCAAAAGTTGAACGATGCGCAGATGTCTTACGAAAAAAGTCAAAATCAACGATAGTAATGCGCAAACGAAAACGCACAACAATTATTTTACCCGTGAGCACACACAACGCGTGTTGGCAAACAGAGCGACGCGTCGACACCAAACATTACACGTTTACCAGCGACGGAACAATGCAAACACATCTGTACGGGTTTTCAAAAAAATAGAAAAAAAAAAAAACAATTGCAAAAAATATGGACCCGGTACGGAACGCGTATCCGGTAGTAGAACTCGCGACATCGGCGAAATCGGTCCGTTTCACCGGGTATTGTCGTACGCGTCCGAAACGTTTCGGTGTACTTCGGTGGCTTATACGGCGTTTATTAAACGGTTTTCGTTTTTTACCATCTAGACAACGGTTTCCGCGCACCGACCCGGGTCGCGGTCAAGGAACAAACCACCCGTAACCTTAACGCGGCGACACTAACGCACACGGTACGACATGGTCCCGTTCGGCCGGGTCGCCATGTCGTTCGCCGCGCTCGTCGTGTGCGGCGTCAACGGTTCCGCGGACCGGTTCCAGTGCGCGTGCGGCTACAACGCGCTGGACCACGTGCGCACGGTGCGCGCGACGCTCGCGGACGGCAAGGTGAACGCCGCGGTGGTCGTGGCGGCCGAGTACGGGCCGCTGGCGTCCCGGATGCTGGCGGCCGCGCACAGCCGACCGGAACCGACGGCGCGGTGGCTGTGGCTGTTGAACATGTACGCGAACACGGTGCGGTGGCACGCGATCGAACGGCGGCACGGCAGCCCCGGTTCGCCGCTGGACCGCGTGGACGGGCCCGCGCTGTTGGCGGACGCGGCGGCCGCGGTCG